GTAAATCAAGTGCCAGAGGTTGAGAAGATTATTGCTCGTGAGCCAATTTCTCATATCAATTGGGCAATTCAAAGAGTCAGTACCAAGAGTAATGCACGTTGCTCTGGAATGATTGGGAGTCAAGGTCAGTGTCTTGCATTTGTGTGCTCAAGTTCAAGTTCTTCAACAGTACCATATTTCTGGGGCTGTCGAGATTTAGGGGTAAAGGGCACTAGTCAAGCTGGATTATTGTTCTAGGACTAATGTTACTCGTACAAATTGGATCCACAACTCAATTATCTCAAAGCTAGATTCTGTGCCAGAGGAGTGGTAAAAGAGATTGAAAGTCTAGAGAGAGATGTGTAAGGAACCAACTCGCCAAGGTGTCATAGGCTAAAGGATCCCCGAAAGCATGACCAAAATGACAAAGAGTTCATCAGATGGGACCGAGTCGAAGATCAAGTCCAAGACTGACTCTGGGACCAAGTTCGAGATAGAGTCCGGAATCGAGTCTGAGGCCGAATCGGAGACCGAGTTCGAGACCGAGTTTGAGACAGAGTCCAAGATCTAAATCGGGTCCGAGACCGAGTCCGAGGTCGAGACCAAGTCCGAGGTCGAGACCGAGTCCGAGGTCGAGTCCGAAGTCAGGCCCGAGATCGGGTCCGAGATCAAGTCCAAGACCGAGTCCAAAGTCGGGTCCGAGATCGAGTCCGAGACCGAGTCCGAGTACTAATACTTGTCAAGGGGTGAAAGCCCAAAGCGTGCGTCTCCTAGGGGGGGGGGGGGCTGCAGGGGGTTCCAAAAGTATAGTAGGGATAGTGAGGTCCAGGAACCAATCTTGAAGGAACTCTCCAGTGGTGCTTCCAAACTGACTTGAAGTTAAGACTGGGGCTAAGGGGCCTTGGGTGGGAGTGAGCAGAGACTTGGGTGGTGCCGAAGGGGCCACCCCAGGAAATGCTCAAGAGCAGCTCCCACTCCCGAAAGGGAAACTGACTACGGTGCTCTCGGCTCATGTGGAGTGGTGCCCCACTTGAGTACCATGCGGCTCATTGGTCCTTGCCCTTCCTAGGGGCTTGGGCTTTCCTTCGGGATGGAAGTGGGGGGGTAGAGGTACCCATACCGGGCCATTAGGCCATGGTGTTTCGCCCCGGTGTCCCAAAGCAAGTGTTGCACCCAAGACTTGGGATTTAGAGGGTCCCATAATCAAGTCTTGTGGTACCAAGGGGTATTAGGAACCTAGAAGCTTGGTGTGCTTGGCTGTTTGTGCCTGTGGGGAGTGTAGCCAAACCTTAAGTCCAGTCTAACCCAGGGAGGGGGATTGGGAGAGACTTGGGAATCCGTGGATGGATGGATAATGCTCCGTTGCTTGTGCAGTGAGTAGTTGAAACCAAGTAAGACCAAGTAGGAGTTGGTACCATAAGTGGGAACCTTGGCGAAGGAACTTAGCAAAAGCCAAGGTAGTGTTGGATGGATAGATGAGGTAAGCTAGCAAATTGGAAAGGAAAAATTTGTGGCTTACAAGCTAGTTTCAAGCTGAAAACTTCCTCAAATATTGCTATTAATTGTAGCGCATGTGATTATGGGATGAGATTTGAATATACTGTCACCGTGGATCTTTGGAACCTTGGGGGATAAATAGGGATAAAATAGCCATTAAGGGCTCTCTTATCACCCTTTTTTAGTTAGCTTAAGGGGAGAGAGATAGGGTGTGTTATATGTGGTATCAGAGCAAATGGCGTGGCTCGATTCTCATCGATTTTCATTGATTAGTGGCTACTTAAAAATATAATATACCCTTGAGCAAGGTATATTCCTACCTCTAAATTTGAAATCGTACATATTGAGCATCAATGCATATGTCTTTTCTCTTGTGTGGAGTATCCACATACGAAGGAATCCACCATGGGATTGAGGTACGAGTGAATGACTAGTTGCCTCACATGGAATAACTAACCTACACAATAGAAAGATTAATAGATTCAGTGCAAAAATGGAAGTGTTGATTCCCCTTAGTTTAGTAGGGGTTATTAGTCAATAGTCAATGAGGACATTGACATCTTTAAAGGGGGGGGTGAGTATAGTGCATATGATCATGGGATGAGATTTGGATATACTGTCACTATGGATCCTTGAAACCTTAGGGGATAAATAGGGATAAAATAACCACTAAAGGCTCTTTCATTAAACAATTGCCTCTTTTCCAATTGGATCCTTGGAACATTGGGGGATAAATGGGGATAAAATAACCACTAAAGGCTCTCTCATTAAGCAATTACCCCTTTTTCAATTGGCTTAAAGAGAAAGAGATAGGGTGCACTACATTGATATTTCTATACCACCAATGTCAACACTAAACCAGCATACAACACTAGTTAGAAATAGGAAGGTTGTATAATATAAGTCTTTTATTTCAAAAGGTGCACAAAAGAAGATCAAGTTGGCAAAGGTGTTGAAATGCACAATCACAAGGATAAACTACATCAGTGCCATGGCTAAAGAGTTTGTTGTTGTGACTGAGTTGTTAAAGGGTACGAACTACACTATCAAAATCTGTGAAAATCCATCTTATAGCTATTCAGATTTTACATAGAAGAAGAACAAAGGAAAGGTATATTTATCCTGCAAGCACATCTATTATATTTTTATCCAAGAACTAAACCAAGATTGACCATCCTAAGATTGACCATTTACATCCACTAGGCAAACCTTACAATTGTAGAGCTTAAGAAGTGTTTCTAGATTACTTTTAGTGTTCGGATCTATATTTATATTTGTATTTTATTGGTCAAATTTACTTGGAAATATAGATTAAATCAAAATTTGAAAAATGAAAAGATGTTCGTTCAGGATGAATGAATGTTTTCCTTGTATTTGAGAAGTCGTGAGCTCATGAGCTCAAAACCTACCCAGGCTCTTTAGGATGATCAAACTTAAAGAGACTTATAACATAAAGATATATGAATCTTAAAAGAAAATTTAGTAGTTTATTTAGAATTTAGATACCTTGATGTATTGAAATATATCCTGCTCCTGATTATATTATACATAGCTATTAATTAATAGAAATTTAATTTTTGTTTTTTTCCTTTGATACGTTCTCCCCTTAAACCAATTGGAAAAGGGCCAATTATTTTATGAAAGAGCCCTTAATAGCTATTTTATCCCCATTTATCCCCCAAAGTTCCAAGGATCTATAATGATAGTATAAACAAATCTCACATGATCACATACACTGTAATTAAATTTGGTTTTGAATGAGTGCATTTTCTATAGTGAATCATGTGAAATATGTTTAGTTGATGCTATATATGAAGGGATTGATTTGTACTAATTTAAGTAATTCTTTTTATTAAGCTTCTCCAAAAGATGAGACTCTAGCTAGCCTCTTTGATCACTTTCCTCTATGGTTTCAATAGGTATGCATCCTTCTATTTTTCCTCCTTTTGCTCATGATTTTTTCTTTATTTGTTTCAGCTTACTTGGACATCCTAAAATGCCTTATAAGAGAGAGCATCATTTTTCTCCTCTCTCAGGTGGCCTTTGGAATGAGTGTAATTTGTATGAAACTACAATTTTTAAATTTGAAGATATGCAATAGCCATTCCAAACAATTATATAGAGTGATCTTGACTGTATGTTAGCAGTAAATAGGTTGAAATAATGTGTTGCCTCTACATATTTTATGCACCCCAAACATTTCTTATATACTACTTCTATGCTATTTGATGTTTTTTAATTTATATAGGCATATTAGATTAGGACTAAGACAGGTGGTAGTGGCACTCTAGAAATTAGCTAGAATTGGAATTAGAATTCATAAGTAATTTAGAAATAAAATAAATTTTATATTAAGAGATTCAATCCTTGAAGCAGCCTATATGATTTTAAAAACTTTTTCCCCACCAAATATTGTTTGGTGCTACAGCTTCATATATTATAAAGCTACAGTCATCTTCAATGGTAAGATATGTAAGAAAAATGCATTTGTCATAGTATTTTGTAATAGACCATAACACTTGGTTTATTTCAGTATATATAACAAGATTTCCATCAGTTTTCAAAATAAGTTCACAATTACCTTCAAAAAATAAAATATTTTCAGATTGCCATAAACGATTTCTACCTGAAAAAAATACAAGCTGGCAATTTGATTTTAAGTATAATACATTTCTACCATTAGATGATACTATAAAGTTTCCTTTTAATAAAAGGAAATCTTTAAAACCAGCATTTAAAGTGGTTAAACTTGTATCACAATCTTTTTCAGTGGGATAAATATATTTATAAGAAAATGGAAATAAATTTTGAGGACTCCACAAAAACTGTTAATGTTATTTTACATTTATCTGCTCGTTGTGATAATAATATTGATTTATTGTATATTTTAAACCATCTCTTATTCTGGTACCAAGTATTTGTTTTGTTGTTGATTTTCCAGATTTACAATTTTTTCCTAAGCGTTCAATCCTTACAAAAACTGCACCTTTGCTAACATCAACCATTCTTGCATCTTTATAATTTTCTGGATAGCTAACATTAAATTTTACTTTCTTTGTTAAATTAAAAAAACCACGATCAATTATAGTTTGAATATCTTGTTCACTAAGAGCTCCTTTTACTCCCCAATCTATATTTGTTCCACATGCTATATTTATGTAAAAATAGAAAAACACCAGATAATTCTTTAGAACCATTTCAAATTACTTCATGTGAACAAGTTTACACTCTACTAAGCATAATATTATTTTATCCATATTTTTAACTGGATGTTAATAAACTATTAAATAATAAATAATTATAATTATAATTAAAAAAGTTATATGGAATTCCCAGATAGGATAAATTTACTTATATTAACTAGAAAAAATAAATATTCTATGTTTCTTAATGTGAATACACATGTTTAAATTTTATTTTATTTTACAATAGTTTGGTTTCTAAGCACAGTAATATATTTAAATTTAAATTTAAAATTAACATATAATATACGGGAGGTGAGAAAAAGAGGGTCTCATGCCACGTCGGTAAGCGGAGAGAGTAATTTTCAGTAAAGTACAAAACTTTGATAAATATTACTTTAATAGCAAGCAAGCCTCCACTTCGCTCCACCCTGACGCCTCAAACAAGACGCCGCTGTGGCGGTAGCTCTTTGGATTGCCGGACTCGATGGAAGCCTGGATGTGAGCTGCGGCGATGGCGAGCGGGAAGAGCTGGAGGTTGTAGCGCAGCAGCATCTCTCTGAGCGCGGGGTTGTGTCCCATGACGATCCCCAAGTCGGCGTCCAGCAGCGCCAAGAGATCGTTGGTGCTGTCCCCCAAGAACACCGCTCTCTTGTTCTCGTCCGGGTACACGTTATACATCCTTCGCAGTGCGTGTAGGATGGCTTCCTTGTCGAATGCGTCCTGGACCACGCCTTGAAAGGTTCCATCGGAGGTTCCTTTCTCGTCGTAGACTAGATCGTTAGAGTGAACGAACAAGTGACCCTCTGGAATGACGAAGAGTGTTTTAGAAAGCTAAAACAAAAAAAGGGATACATACCCGGCAGGCTTGGAAGTCCTCCGATGATAAGATCGCGAGACCAGCTCGCGGAGATGCAGTGCATGGGAATGTTGATCTCGCTTAGCTGTTGGAGGAACTCCGAGCAGCGGTGGAGTAGGGGAATTCGTTTCACTTCTCGTCTTATTTGCTCGCGCCGAACTCCTTTCAAAACACCTCCTGCCATGACTTCCTGCTCCAGAATAAAAGTGAAACAAAACAAACTTTTGATAACAGTACCTTGTTTATTTTCTTCTCGAGGTCCCCGAGTTGCCTCAAGATGTTCCTGAGGTTGCTGCTCTCGTAGACGCACGAGACGTCGGGATTCGCGAACTGTTCCTGGCTGCCTTTGATGTATGATCTGAGTCCCAAGTCCATCCCGGGAACCAGATGATACAAACCGCCTCGCTTCTCGGTCACGGGGGTCAGCTTCGCAGCGACGCTCTCAAACTCCCAGATCGACAAGCAGTTCTTGATACGATTGTCGTGCACCTTCATCAGGGACCAGTAGCGTTCCTGTGGATCTTCACTAGTGGATGAGTTGTTTTTCGCCACTGAGACCAATATCTCTGATGTGTCTTTGACGGTGCAAGTGATATCGTAGTCCGTTGTAAAGAGAAGGTTGACGGGGTGCCACGGATTGGAGCTGCAAGTTGCCTCGTCCTTGTGTCGCGGATAAGCCGAGGAAAAAATTTGTATCTGGTGGCTCAACGCTTCCTTGAAAAGTTTCTCGAGTACACCTCCTTTTCCATCTTGCAAAAGCTTCGTTTCGAGATCTTTCTCCAGTAAAGACGCGCAAACCTGAGAGGTTATATGCTTGAAATGGGAGGAAAACAAAAAAAGTGACGTTTACCTGGAAATCATGCTCGTTATACGCTGAAATCCAGCTGCTCTGGCCTGGAGCCATATATTTGGAGATAGTTCTTGCAAGAAACACTCGTGCGTGGAAAATTGCCATGAGAATCACGCTGGCTTTGACATCGCTGTCTGCTGCCAACTTCATCATAAAAGATTTCATTTCTTTTGCCGAATCTGTCACTGCGTCCTGAGAAAAACGAAGATAGCCAGATATCTAGAAAAGCTTTGCATCACTAAGTTGCCATACCTCATTCCCCTTGTAGATGCTGTGGGAGAGTTTCATGAGCAATGCCTTTGTAGGCTGGTGCTTTGAAAGCGATGAAGCAACGGACAAAACATAGCCTTCGTCTCGCAGAAAGCATGACAGCCTCGAATCAGAAAGTGTTCCAGCCATGGTGCTCAAATTGAATGGGTGGTAAAGAATTGCACAGATTTCCAGCTCGGCCGCCTCGAGAAAGTCTTGCACCCGAAAATTCTGGAGCACCACCATCTTGTTTGGAACCACTTGGCGGCTGCTTGCGCGACGTGAGCTTGTGTGCCTCAGCTACAAAGGAAAAAAGTGGAAGAATGTTGGAGCGAAACAGAAAAGGGAGGAAAAAAAAAATTCTAAGCTTACGAGACAGAAGAACGATGCCTCAGGAGAAAATCGAGCACGACAGCGAACACGACCAGTGTTTGTCCCTAGTTTGCAAGAAGGCTGCAAGAGTAAGCATCAAGAATGAGAGATTATCGACAGAGAAATCTCAAAGACGCCGCACCTAGAGACGCCGCAAGATTTGAGGCCGATGAGACGCCGCTCCGGTGCGCGAGCTTGAGGCGAGCTGCGGGGCGATGAGAATCCATCAAGAAATACCAGGGCTGGTGGATCCGTTGACGAAGATCAGGAGAATCGGCAGGGAGCTGCCGGAGGCGCCGGATTGGCGAGCAACGATCGAAGAATCCAAAAACGCACGAATGCTGGCTCTCCTTTCTTCTCCACTGGCACAAGAAAGACAAAGGGTTCGTTGGGTTCACTGCCGTCCACGCCACTGATATAAGGGGATTAGCATATTCGCTCCCTGTTGGTGCGAATATCTCACCCTCCACTTCCCCACTTCCCCACGGCATCACTTTTTACAACCACGTAAAACCGAATCAGCCTTTTATTATTTTATCTGGTGCGCAACCTTTGAAATCATTTTCATCCATGCTTGATTGGTGTGAGAGTTTTTTGATAGAAGGTCCTATATTGTTAAACTATACAGAAAATGACAACCATGGACCATCAACTTTGACTTGAATTCATACATTGTATAGAACTTACATTTATTTAAATTTCTATACTCTTAAACTATACAAAGATCTGATATTGTATAGTTTACTTTGTTTACAAAGATCTGACTTTTATATAATGTTATATAAACTCTTTTTTCAATTACACGTAATATTATAGTGGACACCAATTGCTATAATAACAAAACTGTGATTGTGTCCATCATAATATTGGTATTGGGGCATGCCACATATAAAGTTGACTCATAGCTTAGGTTTGATAATGAATATACCTGAAATATGCTAGGATGTTCTAGCATATTATACTATTTAAGTTTGTAAATGATAATCTTTTTTATGGTGGTCAGGTGATTTGTATGAATTCTCCAAAGAATTTGGAAAGGCAGGAGTTACTTACACTGGAAAGAGCACTGTGAGAGTTGCGCGATGGATTAGATATTAGCTGCTTCCTACTTCTAGCAAGTGAAAATTCTCTCTCACACGGAGGAAAGAAGAGATTTTGTATACCTCTGTTTCTCAACGAGGAGGAAATATCATCCAGATTTCTCAAGCAGAGGCCTTGCATTGGAGCACCGCAAATCAAACAAGCACGGGTCCTTCTGCCATTGCAGAGGTTGCAAATACCTATAAGGGAAAAACTTGATTTCTGAAAGGCACCCAATCGACACGCCCAATACACACTCTTGCTCTCAAATATGAGGCTAAACCCATGAGAATCTCTCTTGTAGGATTCTTCATCAGTCATATTGTCACTCCATCAGCAATCACGCTTGTGCCACTTGTGCTTGCTTACGATTTCATGGATTTGACACCTTTTCTGCCACTCTGAGAAACTCCACAAACTCCGAGTTTCCTTGCTCCATAGCAACTTTCAAAATCTGCTCATGGTCACTTTGGATGATCTTTTTTATTGCATGCACGGCCATTTCCTTACTCCCATGACCACTTCCACAACTTGTCCTCCAAGAAATCACCATTCTCGTAGCAAAAAGAAAACCCTCATTCAAAACACCTGTGCATTCTCTTGCTTGGAGCAAGCAAACCTCAGAGGTTCATATTCCACCAATTGAGCTTGACTTTATCTAGCAAAGCTCATCAGGTCCATCCCTAGAATTCCAACTTGTGTAATAAATCATGGATGTGTGGCCTTGGAGGAATTCTTTGATCTGCTGAAGTATAAATTACAGAACTATCACCTTGGTATGCATCATGCATCAGCCATTTTTCTTGCACAACTATATGCCATAACTACCTTTTTTGACACCGATGCAGCTTAGTTCCTTCTTGGATCAAAGTCCCAGCTTATCTTGTCAATGATGAACACCACACCCAACTTGAAATCCAGCCGGCATTAAAGATCCACAAGCAAAGTTCCCTGAATGTCCACCATCATGTTCTTGGCTAGCTGCTGACGATGGCGGCTGGAACTTCAACACACTTGACGAACAGGTAGCATGTCTGTGTAATCCTTAAAACTCGTAAATTCCTCGCAGCTGGAAGCACTGACTTTGCCACAGTTGCTGTAAGCTGCTTGGATGCGTGCTAGGCATGCCCTCTTGTCACGCTCTGCTCTGCTCTGCAGCATCCATTGACCACGGTGAAGATCTCATGAGCTCGGGTATCACTTCCCCAGAGAGTAAACATCTCAAGGGAATGGATTTGCGAGAACTACCATCCACGGCCTCATCTACAAATCCAAAATAGTGACCTCAAGTACGCTGCGCTTATACATGGTGATTTATAAGAATTTAAAAGAATGATACGTGGCACTGATGTATATAAAATCTGCAAAAAAAGAATGTTTTAGCAATTCAAATACACATAACTTGGATATTATTAATTCTTTGCCAGCCCATCACATTCTGATTGCATACATTGGACCATAGGACTTTGATTTGAATCTATTGTTATGCAAAACTTTCGACATAATATACACCATTGCCAGTCCACGTTTCTTTACTATGTAGTTCGTTTCTTCTACTTACTCTCTTCCTTGCCTCGCCTTACACGATCTCTCTCTCTCTCTCTCTCTCTTCTTTTCTTTTCTTACCTCCTGTGAAGACTTCCCGAGGTTGCGAGCTTTCGAGCTTTTCGAGCTTCTCCTTGTCCGATTAGCTTCCTCTCGAGTCAAGCAGTAGCAGCGGCGGGAGCTCCTGTAAGAGTGTCGACCCTGTCAATCTTGTCCAGAGCTCTGATCCTCTCGAGTTCCAGCTCCAGCGGGCGGAGTGATCGCCTGGAAGTGAATGGAGTCGAAGTCTCGGGCTTAACCGTGCATGGTAGCGGAGAATGGCTGTGACTCTTGCTCAGTCTCGTACTCAGAACCTTCGGCTTCTTCGTGAACTCTTGGCTCTTGCTTATGCCCGGTGTCAGCCTCCTCAGCACTGCTCCGGTTAGCATCTCTTGGTCCTCCTTGGACAGCTCGCGGGAGCTCGTTGCTGGCGGCGGCAATGGATTCAGCACAATCGTCTTCTTCACTGGCGAGCGGAAGGGAGACTTGTGCGGGGACCTGTTGTGGCCGTTGAGGTTACTCTTGGCTCGGCTTATCAGGAGGTTCAGCCAAACCAGGAGGTCTAATATATACTTCTCGGTCACTTCTTGATCCGCGTGATGAAGTGTTTGGATCAAGCTGATTTCCTGGACGTATGGTTTCCGGTCGATGGAAGATCTGTTTAGATTCTCATGGTTAGAGTGATTCTAGGAAACAAATGTTTAAAGAAGTAGCGACTCACCCAGCACTAGCCCATTCTCCAACCCACCCGAATCCATGGTGCGCTCTGCACGTAGATAAACCAAAAGGATCAATCAAACAGTCCGGCTGCTGCTCTAGTTTTAAACATCTTTACTTTGTTGTGTTCGATGCGATTGGTACCATCCATACCAGTATTTTTTCCATTTCTTCTTTGATCTGGGACGCTGTGAGCTGCATGAAAACAAACAAACTTAATATACTCCACAAATGTTTACTAATAAGCAGCTTTTCTTGCCTCTTCTTTGTTTGAGTTAGCAGCCGCGTAGAGGGCACTTCTCAAGGACATTTTGATAGAAGGAGGAAGACCTTGATACAGATTATCGCGCGTGTTTGGAGGAATAGAACTTGGTCGGGAGACCTGTAGATAACGCAGGCATAAATAAGATTCAGAAGATTTGTAAGACCTACCAGAGTGTCGATTTGGTTTATTATATTAGCATAATGTAAGGCCAGGCCAAGAGCTCCCAATCTCGGAACGCTTGAAAGCTTCATCGATTGCTCTTCATCATACTCGCCTGCAATAGACCGAGAACATGAATCACGCCTAAAATGAGAAGTATGCACCTACCAAATGCATCAGCGATTTGTTGATGAAGAAAATACACTATATCTAGCAGTTTCTCCATTAGCTGACAGAAAATGAGGACAAATCTCAGACATGGAGCCTGAACGAAAACGATTTTAGTACCTCTTCCATGATTTTTGACCAGAGGGACTTTTTCTGCAATAGCTTTACGTGCTTTTGCTGGCATTTAAAATCACTTTTTAGCATTGCTAAGCTCTCCCCTGCAACGTGAGCCAGGAAAGGTTGGCAATAAATAGAATGGTTACAAGTGTACCTTTGTGAGGATTAGAAGACAACTCGTTTTCTTCGATCTTCCGCCGAACGTCGTTGTCGTATCTATCCAACGCATGGAGTTCATGGTATAGCTCCTGTCCACAGACAACAAACGTATCACGAGAATCTATACACGAAACCAAGAGACAAAACGTTTTTGTTTTTTCAACTTACTGCTGTGTTCTGTGCTAGAGTCATAAGCTCTTGCATTTCTTGCTCTGCGTGCTCCGGTGACTGCCTGGGAATTTGTACTTCCGTTCCCAGTCTACACAAGAAGAACTGGAGCATAGGCAAAATCCATATGAAAAGTAAAGCACCTGTTGATTAGACGATCGAGTTGATGCCACTCCGGTGCTCGGCAGTGGTTTCCAAAACGAACAACCTCACTAGCGAACACTTTGAGCTCATGCCTAAGATCACACCAGAGTGTCAAACAGAGAGAAGTTGAACTACGTCCATTGGACGTACCTTTTATCAGAGGCAGCAATTCGCCAGAGCTCATCGAGATCTTTAGACACGAGCCGCTGGACCCCTTCAGAGGGAAGAATTTCCTTCTTGAGCAGCTGGAGGCTTTCCTCTGACAAAGACTGCTTCAAACTATATCCTTTGACCACGGTGTTTGCAACCTCGAACGCTAGAATTCCAATCTTGTTCCCCTTGGGTGCCACTCCAGCAGCAAAGCCACTCCCAATCGTGGTTGTGATGCTGCTCCCAAACGTATCCAGCATCACCACCGCCTTGTCCAGGCCAGCAGTCCCAGCTCTCCCAAGGATCGACTTCGCATTCCGAGCCTTGTGAGAAAGTACTCTGGACAATTTGATCCGCTCGCTCTTGTCCTCCTCATCGTCCTTGGTATCATCCGTCTCTGGCGAGGAGCTAGCAACTTTGTCGACCGAGGTAGAGGGATCGGGAGCGGGAGCCTTCCCTGCCGCATAGATCCCATTCACTCCATTTGGTTGCTGCGAAGGCTTTGAGAGCTGCCGCTTAAAGTTTGGCCTGGTACCCTCTGATGAGCCACTGGAATCCTCGGGCACAGTCTTCGAGCACAAACCTCCCATTTTCCACGGCCGGATCCCCTCAACATGTGCATCTAGAACCGCTGAGCTCCCGATCTCCAAACCCTAACCTGGAATTCCTGGCCAGCGCCGCGAACTTGGACCGCGCAACCAATCGGAGTAGCTGCCGCCCCGATCGATTCGCTCCCGCTGCGCAAATCTCCTCCAGCGCCGGCCTAGCGATCGCGCCCGGCAGCCATACCTAAAAATGCTGCGCGTATTCATCCATTTTCCTCTCGTTTGGCTGCGCTTTTGCTTGAAGAGTGTGAGTGAATTTGTAAACTCTTCCTCTCTGTCAATGCATGGTTATAAATTATTTGTTTTGACCGGGCAGCCCGTCAACCCGTCAAAGCCGTCGCCTGCACGTTGGTCCTGACTTCGATTCCCACCAGTCTCACCCACTAATCATGCTTAGTTTAAACTTGCTTATTTCAAATGAGTGTGCTTTCCTTAATAAATTACAATTAGCAGAAATACAATAGCCTCGTTACACCCTCAGTTCCAAATGTGAGAACGTAACGAGCCTCGATTTCCTTTGCAAAATGGAAAAAAAATCCTCTTTTTCTTTGATTTTTCTTGTGTGGGAGACGCTAAGCACCGCCATGGCGCTGCTTCTGGCGTTGTATAGCGCTGGCCTTGTTCTCCAAAGCAGCACGCCGGACTAGCTGCAAGTATCTCATTGTTTCCCTTCAGATTTCAAGGAAGCGAAAGAACTTACTTGTCTTTGGTACTTCCTCCTCAGCTTGATAGCCGTTCTGATACAACTCCGCACTTTGATCTTCATCTGGATCTCGTTGAAGGCCTGCAAATCAAAGCTGAGGTTTTGCACAATCTGGGATAGATGAAAACACTGCACCTTAATAGCGTCGTCCATGGAATGCACGTCTTTCATAAACCTGGTCCGGTTGAGCACGAGGATGGCGGCCACAACGAAGACGGAGAGTTCATCGTCGCCTGTCTTGCCAAGCAGAGAACTCACGGTCCGTATCTTGTGTCGGGAGTGACGAGGCCAGAAGTTTCCAGCTCTCAATCCACAGAGCGGGCTTCTGGATAGATATCCAACGCGATCGTTGTCCTCCAGCGGCGAGGTGTCTAGTGACTGGTCCTGGAAAGTGTAAAGCGGTGACATTGCTTTGCTATCGTCTTCCGGTAGCGTTTCATCCGCTGGTGTTGGATCTTTCACGATAAGGAGCTCCGGGCAATGGTATTCCAGTGCCCAGGAAATTCCATTATCGAAGTCCGCAGCCCACATCATCTGGAAAATATAAGCACTGCGATGAGACAAAAGAAAAATAATCTAAGCTTGCGTACCTCCCACATGCACAGAGCTTCGCCAAATGAGAGCTCACGACGGAAGAGGACCAGCAGCATTCGAAAGGCGAAAAGGAAGCTATCGGCACCGATGTGGACAAAGTGCTTGAAAACGTAGACGTCTGTGAGCTCCAAAATTGTGGTCAGAGCTTGCAACTGGCGCATGACACCAATCGGACCATCCATCTGAAAGTTCTGACGCTGTAAAGGAAAGCTACTCAATGGTCAGTGTGCAAAAAAGACAGAGGAGACAGGGAATTTACTTACCACCCGCCTGAGGAGGCTCTCAAAACACCAAAACGCATCAGCATCATCTTCGTAAATCAGAATAAATGGCGACAGCAAATCACTCATGCCTGGCAAAAGAAACGAAAGATTTCAGTCTACGCACTTCAAGTTGATAACTTGCCTTGGCAATAGCCCGTTGCAGGATCAACCCATGCATAGACTGCTAAGATATCCGACATCCGTGCCATGTTTTTGGAGTCTTCATAGAACTTGAGGTGTCTGTCAGTCCTGACCACATCCACAACTGCAAATAAAAGCATGAGTCAGAGATCAAAGGTAACATAGAGGCATTTTTCTCACCTATTCTATGCAATGTCCAAAGCCAATCGGCTACTTTCTCGTCCCTGAACGCCCCCCCTCCGCTCGGCACCTTTAAGTCTTCCTGTTTTTCTGGAGATCTCGTTGTATCACCTTCTTCTCTTTTCACCTCATTTGTAACTTCTGGCTGCTCGTTCGCACTTTCCGGGGTCTCGTTCTCGTTCAATATAGTCACAATTGAGTTATCATCGTCATCGTTTAGAGTATGTAGTTGTAAGTCTTTGTTTTCGGCTTTGTCAGTCGCGCCTGAAGTCCTGTCCTTCGTTGAACTGGTAGTACTATCCATCACATATGTTGGAAACAATGTTCTCACGGGCAAACGCAGGTAATCAGGCAGTTGGCTGCCGTCGTCGTTAGAAAATGAGTTATCGACTTCTCCTTCACTCGGTCCCGAGTCTGTTCCTTCATCGCTCGGACTGCCAGCTTCGGATGACTTCTTCGGCGCCAAGTCCTCCTGTATGAGGAGATCTCCTTCCTCAAAGCTCTCTCTCGAGTCCTCAAAATTTTCAAGATCCTGTGCAGCCTGGAAGCGCTCCTCCGACCAGGAAGCAATCTTCTCTTTGAAAGACGTTGCCACCTCATTTAAAGTGGTGTGTTCTTCTCGAGTGGTGCTTTTGGACGTCACTCGGACGTCCATAATTTTAGTGCCGACCGTATACGCCAGTGTGCCTGATCCAATACTTCCATGCATCAGATGGCATTGCTCGATGAGCTCTTGATAACGAATCCTACACAAACAGAATTTCCCGTGAAACAAGCAAAAAAAAAAACAAACAAGCCGAGACCTTCGTGCGTGACGAAGCTGTTGCCGATACTCGGCAGTCGTGCCGAGCGAGTAGCAGCCAAGCAAAAACTCCCATACCTCCGCTCTGATCGAGTGATCAACACCCTGACACCATAAACAAAGGCCCTGGCCATTCATTAAAAAACTTCCAGATCCAAAACAAAACGAATGCTTTGAAACTCACCCCCGAGACGATGGCTTTCAAAATCTTGTGAAAGCCCACAGCTCTTCCTTCCTTGTCAAAGGCAGCTCTCCATTTCTCCGGCTTCAAGCGCTTCGAGGTCTGGATTACAATCCCAACAGAGCGTTAGAAAGCACTAGCACACGCATTCCATAGGCTAGACTAGTACTAGGTAGCTAGAAATCTCATGAAAACACAAAAAGAGCTCTTTTCTCTTACCTTTGCGGACTCGATGAAAGATGGAGCTTGTGCTGCTGGCTGAGGCTGAGCGATGCCGCTACTGTTGCTGGTGTTGTGCCCTCCTCCCACGGTCGAAGCCGCCTTGAGGAACATCCTTGGTCCCACGGCTGGGCCACACATCCAGCGTGATTCATCCCAGTCTCTCGACATGTCATACTGCTCGCTAGCGTTCGATCGAAATATTTCTTCCTCTTCTCGCGAAATCTACTCAATGCAGCCCAATCGATGGCGCCACTGCCTGGATTTCTAGCTCCCTAGGAATCAGCGCTTCACTGTACCTTCCTCCTCCTCCGCATCGACACGGCACTCGCATCGCGACGCCGAGGCGGCTGAGAATCGCTGCCGATCTGCGCAGCGCCGGGCCAGATCTCGAGCCGGAGCGCTCGAACTGGCAGACCCGATCTCATCCCCGAAATATTTTCGAAAACCCTAAAGTTAGTGAGGCTCGAGCGTTTGTGATCGGGATTACACTACTCTTCCCCGACGCCATAGCCAGACTTTTACCAGTGACACAGACCACGCTCTTTTACCACGGGTTAAAAATTTTGCCCCCTTTGGTTTTATCGATGGCTCACGTAGCCCTAATCTTATTTCTAGGCCTTGGCGAGGGCGAGAGCTCCGGCGGCTTCGATTGGATCATTGCGAGGGCACGAGATCGCCCCGGATTTCATGACATTTCCATGATTTTCTCGTGTTCTAGGAGATGGCTGCTTCAGGTATGGTGGAATCGCCTCGAATTTCACCGATTCTCTCCTTGCAGGCCGACCGGCGCCTGCCAAGCCTTGGGAGCGCCCTGGATCTCAAGGCAATTCAAGCCCTTCTCCATTTGCCCCTTCCTCGCCGACTACGAGCACGGCGGCAGCAATTGCTAGCTCTGGCACCGCCGCCACAACGATCGACAAGCAAAATCTCGCCCAGCAGCCTTCCACCGCCGTTGGGGCCGCTGTGCCTTTGAGACCCTGGGAACGCAACCAAGGTAAGTTTGTTTGATTCTTTCTTTCTTCCAGTACAGCGTACTTCCATCCTTACATCCTCGCCAATTGTGTGTGTTCTTGCATTCCAGGAGGCTATGGGAGCTATGGAACGATGAGCACGTACAACAGACCATACAACTCGGTCGGTGGCTACGGTGGTGGTGCTTACAATGGTGGTGGCTATGGATACAATGGTTCTCCATATGGAAGCAGCTACTTTGGAGGAGGATATGGCAGCAACTATGGTGGCAGCCCGTTTGGAGGAGGAGGGATGTACAATAGAATTGGTGGTGGCTATGGTGGATTTGGAATGCCGATGGGAGGAGGGCCTTTAGGCGGCTATGGAGGCTATGGTGCTGGGAATCCCATGGCTCCCAATCCTGACGATCCGTATGGTGGTCCTCCTCGCGCTCCCAGTTTCTGGCAGTCCATGCTTTCCGTGGTGAGTGGCGACTTCTTCTCGTTTTGTTTTGTTATTTTTTTTGCTACGCGTGTGATGAAAGTCTGTTTTTCTCTTCTGCGCAGCTTCATGGTGTCATGACTTTCTTTGGACGGCTGGCAATTCTGATTGACGAGAACACTCAGGCTTTCCATTTTTTCATCACGGCGCTTCTTCAAGTACGTACAGGGACGAGTGGAAGAGTTTGCTCATGTGTGACTTCCGTCTTACGCAGCTGTGTGATCGGGCTGGGATTCTTTACGGGGAGCTCGCACGATTCGTGTTGCGCCTGTTGGGCTTCAGGCCGAGATCGCCGAAGGCTCGCTCTGTGGCAGGAACAAGAGCCTTGGCCGGAGCTGAGGCAAAGCAAGGTGGTGGTGATGGTGCTGTCGTCGCTTCTCTTCCAAAGGAGGGATCTTGGGACAATGTGTGGTCTAACAAGGAATCCCAGTAAGTGTCGATCGATTGGTAGCCTCTGTAGATATATTATTTGCACTAGTCTGGATGTCTTGGTGAGTATCGTTTTGTGTGATATTAGAGGCCTGGGGGAAAATAAATTTCTTTCATGATCTTTGTTCTAGAGGTTCTAGCTAGGATCTCTGGTTCTTCTACGTGATCGTGACCACAGGTTCTTTTATGCGCGATAACTTGCGAGGTGATGATACGAGGTGACTTTTCTTTTTCTTTTGTAAGGTTTTCTTGGACGTTCTAACCATCCAATCAATCCAGGCGGTGTTCTTCGTGGTGCTGTTGCTGCTGCTGCAAGCTGACAAGCTTTGCATAGGCGCCTCCGATCTTCCGGACCAATTCACTGTGGCTGCCTTGCTCGATGATCTGCCCGTCCTGGAGGAGCGCGATCACGTTTGCGTTCTGGATGGTGGACAACCTGTGAGCAACGACTAGGCAGCTCCGGCCTTTCATCACCCTGTCCAAGGCCTGCTGGACCACCTTCTCGGACTGCGCATCCAGCGCACTGGTGGCTTCGTCGAGCAGCAAGATGGCCGGGTTCTTTATCACAGCTCTGGCGATGGCGATCCTTTGCTTCTGGCCACCCGAGAGCTGGACGCCTCTCTCTCCGGCCACGGTCTGGTAGCCATTCGGAAGAGAGCTGATAAAGCTGTGAGCATTGGCTGCCTTGGCCGCCTCCACCACCTCCGACTCCGTCGCCTCAGGCTTGCCATACCGGATGTTTTCGAAGATGGTGGTGTCGAAGAGCGCGGGCTCCTGCTGGACGAGCCCGATGTGCTGCCTCAGCGATCGGAGCTTGAGCTTGCTGACGTCCTTTCCATCGACGAGCACCGCCCCGGAGGATGGATCGTAGAACCGGCTGATGAGGCCGATGACCGAGCTCTTCCCCGAGCCGCTGGGACCGACTAGAGCCAGGCTCTTGCCGGCTCGGACTCTCAGGCTCAGGTCCCGGAAGATGGTCACGTCCGGCCTGGTTGGATAGCTGAAGCAGACTCTCCGGAGCTCGACGTCGCCCCGGACGTGGCTGATCTCCTTGGCCTCGCCATCATCGGGATCTATCTCGGTCTGGTAGTCGATGAGCTCCATGACCGAGCCGACCGCTTGCGAGCCTCGGAGGATATCGGGTGCTAGAGATAGCGTCTCGGCGACTCCAAAGGCGGTGAAGATGAGGAGAACGAAGCTCTTGAGCACGGGTCCAAAGGTGGTGTCACCCTGCTTGATGAGATTGGAGGCGTACCAGAGGGCCAAGCCGTAGGAGCTGAAGAGGCAGCACTGGGAGACGCCGTAGCCGATGCCGGTGATCTGTCCACGGGTGAAAGCGTTGCTCTTGGGGCCTTGGAGCTCGCGGTTGAAGAGATCCATCACTCGTTTCTCGGCGCAAAACGCTGCGACTGTCCGGATGTTCCCGACGGCTTCTCCCGCCACCATTGTTGCTCGGTGGTAAGCTTTGCTGAGATTAACTCCGAAGCCTTTCAGGAAGAGGTGCTGGAAAGAAAGTTTACGAAGTCGATCAGCTAGCGAGAACGAAGAGCAACGAAGAACAACAAAGAACAACGAGCTCTTTCCTACCTCGGTGATGTGAGCTCCGATCATGAGAGGGAAGAGGGCGATGATAACCAGCGTCAGCTTCCACTGCAGCACGAACGCCATGACGAAGCCGGTGACTATCAAGGCGAGATTTTGCGTGAGAGTGCACAGGCGATCCCCAACGGCGGCACGAAGCATGGTGGCGTCCGACGAGAGACGAGAGGCCAGCAAGCTGCTGTTGTTCTCTTCTCGATCGAACCAGCCGATCTCATTCCGCAAGATATCTACGTCAAGAACTTGGTTAACAACTTTGGAAACTTTGGCAGGAAGAACTTACTCGAGAACATCATCTTCCGGACTCGCATCGTCAGCCTCTCGCCCATGACGCCGAAGAAGTAGTGCTCCAGGACGTAGATTCCAACAGTGACGACAGTGGCGATGGCAAAGATGGTGGAGATCTTCTCGACTTCTCGCTTCTGGTGGCTTTGGTCGGGGCTGTAGAAGGTGACCAAGGCCTGCGTGATCCCGTAGGCGAAGAAGGGGGTCTCGGCTCCGGCAAGAATAGCTCCCAGTGCTCCAGCCAGCGCGAAAGGCCACTCCGGGGCATTGAGCTTGAGCAGTCGAAAGTACGAGGCCTTTGGAAACTGGTGCTGCTGGTGGTACTCCTCGAGCTCGGCGTTGCTGTGAGCGTCGGCCTCGGAGCGTACGCTCACCCGGAAGCTGAAAGTTCGCTGCGACAGTGACAAAGAACTCCCGCGAGAGTGCCTGGTGGAAGAAGAAAAATCGAAGTTTGCGAAGGGGATCGAGCGAAGCAAGCGTACCTGGCGGAGTGCTTGGAAGCAGTGTCACTCTCCTTGGCCACCGCCGCCGCCGCCGCCTGGAGCTTGACGAGAGCAGCGTAGAACTCGGCCTTGGCGAGGAGCTCGTCGTGCGTTCCAGACTCCACCACCTTCCCTTGATGGACAACCGCGATGGTATCGGCGTTCCGGATGGTGGAGAGCCTGTGCGCCACCACCACCGTCGTCCTCCCCACCATGAGCCGCTCGAGAGCCTCCTGGACGGCACTCTCGGAGCTCGCGTCCAAGGCGCTGGTGGCCTCGTCCAGCAGGAGAATGGCCGGATCTTTCACCATAGCTCGAGCGATGGCGATGCGTTGCTTCTGTCCGCCCGAGAGCTGGATGCCTTTCTCGCCAACTTGGGTGTCGTAGCCGCTGGGGAGCTGCTTGACGAAGGTGTGAGCGTCCGAGGTTCTGGCAGCCGCCTCGATCTCGCCATCGCTCGCGTCCTCCTTTCCAAACAGGATGTTCTCTCGGATGCTCGTCGCGAAGAGCGCCGGTTCTTGGCTCACCAGCCCGATCCGGCCCCTCAGCCACTTGAGCTGGAGTTCTTGGATTGGAATTCCATCCAGGAGCACTCTTCCTGGCGACCAACAAGATCAAAAACAGAATTTATCGTCAGGACGATCGAGAAGTTCTTTCTTCTCTTTGTACCTGACTGGGGATCATAGAAACGCTCGATGAGGGAGATGATGGTGCTCTTGCCGGATCCACTGCTTCCAACGACAGCCACAGTCTTTCCCGCGGGGATGGAGAGGCTGAGATCCTGGAAGATGACGACGTCCGGCCGGGATGGATAGCTAAAGCATACTTTGTCAAACTCTATGTTTCCATGGACGTTGTCGAGCTTCTTCCCTTCGAGAGCCTGGAGGTTTATGGATGGTTTTCGGTTGATCATCTCCAGGATGGTGTATCCCGCGGCTCGGCCTTTGCCGAAGGCTGCGAGATTTGGAGCAGCGTTTCCAAGAGATCTGGAAGAAAAGAAATGAGAGAACTCGAGATGGATGGATGGAACTTACAGTCCGGCGATGACGACGTTGAGAATGGTGGTGAAAGCTTCGCCGCCATTGGTGGTTCCATTGCGAACTAGAACGCCGGCGTACCACAGGAGGAGCGACCACGCACCGATCGTCAAGCCATACGTTGCTCCGATTCCCATTCCTTTGGCGAGGCCACTCTTCTTTCCAATCTCCAGCGTCGTTTCCAGCGCTCGAGCGTAAGAATCCACGGCTTGCTCCTCCTGGACGAACGAGTAGACCGTTCTTACTTGGGAAATGCTCTACAAGATCAAAGGTTCAGCTTTCCAAGTTTCCAAAGGAGGAACAAGCTTGATCACCTGTTCAGCAACGTTTCCAGCTTTCGCGTAGGCCTTTTGGTTCTTTGTGGTGAGCCCGATCATGGTGTGAGCGTACAATCCACCGGCGAGAGCAATCCCGGGAACAACAGCGAGGGTGACGAGCGTAAGTTGCCACACGGACGAGAAGCCGACCGCGAAGCCAGCCACAAATCTGGCCATGTAGTGGAGATAGTTTCCAGCCTATGGAGGATCAAACGAGAAGAACTTTAGCGTGATCAAGAGAGCTGTTCCAAAGTTCTCGGAAGAACAACGATCGAAGTTTACTCTACCTTTGCACCGATTGCTTCTTGGACAAGGGCGGTGTCGCTGGAGATCCCATTGACGATCTCGCCGGTGGTGGTGTCCGTGTCGAAGAATCCCACGTCCTGGCTGAGCATCGCTTTGAGATAAGCCACTCTCATTCGTGCCGATTGTCTCTCGCCCGTGTAAGTCCAGCACGCCACCTCTGGATCCACACAAGATAATTTACTCGAAAGGTAGAATTTTGAGCAATCACAATCAAGATCGCCATCAACCTCTCCAGGAAAAATCTATTTTTTGGTGTTTCTCTGGAAGTTTTTGTGGAAACTTACCAAGCCACGCTGCGACCAAGATCGCGAGTCCAAGGTAGACAAAATATAAAGCATACTGCCACGAGCAAACACACAATTAGCGGCAAGAAAAACAAAAAAACTAAAGGTAGGACAGAGAAAAGAGAGAAGAACTTTCGATTCTATGGCCTTAGCAGTTAGCTCGAAAGAAACTCTCGAAACTCTCGATAGAAAACTCGCTTGGAAGACATAGTCTATCAATTAAGAATGGAGATTGGATCGATCTCAAAGAATGGGAAAGAAAGAGAGGAAGAAGAACGTACCTTGGAGACGCCATGGCCGAGCTTGGTCGGGTTATCATAGTTTGCGCCAAACTCATCGATGAGCTTCCCAAAGAAGATGAAGAACACTGGAATCGCCGCTCCATGGGCGCACGCCCCGATTGCGCCCACGAAGATCAGCCCCAAATCCATGGCATCCGCGAAGGAGTAGAGCTTGTAGTACGGAACGCTACGATCTTCTTCTTCTTCTTCTTCTTCTTCCCCCTTCTTCCTCCTCTTTTTCTTCGTGCTGCTCAAGTGGCTCTCTCCATCTTCTCCATTTGTGGCAGTGCTCTCCTTCTTGGCGTCGTCGAGATCTTCGATGGTTTCCAGCCCCTGCCGTTGCTCCGTGATGTGATCTACGCCCTCTTCTTCCATGATTGCGAGAGATTTCAAATGCTGGCCGAGATGAGATGGATTGATTGATCGGCCGAGCAGGTAAAGTACACGCCCTGACAGCTCTCTCCCTCTCGCGATCGATCCGGTGAAAAAGCTGCTACCCCCGGACGATTCTAGCCGAATCCTTCATTTGGGCAGCTCCAAAACGCCCGATTGCTCGCTGGGCAGAGCCGAGATCGCGCGATTGTCACCAGCATCTGGATCCCGCCCGGAATTTACTCGCCATTGGCAGAGCAGGGGAGGGACGAGAGGAAGGAAAAGAGGGGTGAAAGCTTTGGGCGTTTGTCGCTCTCTCTCTCTCTCTCTCTCGTGGGCCGCTAGGCTAGGCGCTAGGCAAAGCCGCGCAAACCTTTGTGGTGGCAGTGATGGAATCCACGGAGGAAAAAGAGGGGATTTGATGAAGAAACCGGAAAAGAACAGCCCAGGAACAAAGAGGGCGCAATCGATGCTGTGATTTTGTTTAAAATGTATAGGCCGAAAGGGGGTCAGTTGGTGTTCTCCAGCCAGAGTTTGGTAAGCGCACAGAAATAAATCCATCGCCTTTCACCCAATCGCCATCCATTAAATGCTCTCGGCCAAGAACCCTAATTCTCTAATCCCCCCTGTTTTGCTTTGGAGGGAGAGAGAAATTCGGTGGATCGGAGTGCGATCGGAGCTGGAATCCGTTACATGGGCTTGTCGATCGGCTTCCAAGGAAAGAGAAAAGCGAGGCCAATGTTGAAAATCAGAGACGCACTAGCTGCTAGCAAACAAAACGTTCCTCTTTTCCGAGAGAAGGGCATCTTTTTTCCTCTTTCTCGTTCCATCCAGTACAATCCACAGCGATCGATCGCGGCGACACCGCGGCCCACGCCAATCGCCCACTTCCACTCGGGCGCATCGATCGAGCGAGAGCCCTAAAGGCTGGCAGAGGGAGAATGTACACGACATGTACAAAACTACAATACACTCGGAATTAATGCCGGGAACGAGACATTCAATCTGGGCCGTCCGATCCGTGCGAATCTGGACCGTTAGATCCGGCCATGGTTTTTTTGTTAACTATGTTTTCATGTCAACGCGAAATCGAGGCAGACCGGCCAACAACTATTTTTGCCGTTCCTCGTGAGCTTTTTTTTGCGCTCGATTCATTGCTGCTACTGCTGCTGCTGCTACTGCGCAGGTTTCTAGGTGAGAATCGCAGCTGCTACACATTAAAAAGTTAAGAACACGGAGAAGAAAAATCGAGAGAGCAAACAAAGACAAGAGGAAGACTAGAGCTCGCTAATCCTTACTTCTTCTTAGTGTTGTTCTAGTGATCGAAGTATCACCGCTGCTACACGATCATCGAATCGCATGGTACCTCGAGAAGGCGATCCGGAGCGAGGTAGCTTTGAGTTTGGACCTGTGCTTGGAGGCGAGAGCCTCGGTCGCCTGCTCGATGGTGTCGAATTCTACCAGAGCTTGCCTCCTGTTGGTGGACTCGAAGAGCTTCACCCTCTGGATGACGCCGTGGGGTGCCAGGAAGTTTAAGAGGTCGCCTTCCTCCACCTCGTCGCTCACGTTGGAGATGTGGAGGATCTTCGAGGGCGGGCAGCAGTTCTTGACGTACTCGCTGTTGAATCTGTTGTAGGGGTCCATTGTGAAGTCGCGAGTACGAGGGTGTCTGATGGTGTTGTGCTTCGAGAAGGAGATCTCCATCGCGCTTCCAAGCAGAGGTGCTCCCTGTAGTTTAAACTCCCAGTCAGAGAGACAGAAAAGCAAGTAACAAGGTTTACCTTTAGAAAGTTCAAAGCAAGCTCTGCTTGGATCCCGTCTGCCAGCTGAACCAAGGCTTGCTTCGCATTTTCAAACATCTTAATCCGCAGTACTCGTCCATATCCAGAGAAGAGGTTGAAGAGTTTCTCTTCGTCTGTTCTCTGCGAGAAAAAGACACTCTTGTACAGCCATACCGTATAAAAAAACACACAAGTACCTCGTGTAGATTTGAAACAAGGAGAGTACACTTGTCATTACTTCCAGTGACCCCAAATGGAAGAACTCCTGACAACGGGACCGAGCCTGAAATTTCGAAAGGAAAAAACAAGAGGAAGTTGAAGACTTCGTTTAACCCCACCAAAACCACCTTGCTTCATCGTAGAAAACGCAGTGCCAGCACCCAAGATCGAAGCCTGCGGAGAGGTTTTGCTCTGTGAATCCCCTGGCAAAGAATTATTTGTGTAGTCCCTGTTCATTTTAAACGGTTCCTTATAATTTCCAAGAAAGCGAAATGCAAAACTCAGAAACTTGCCTGGTAAGCTCATTGTTGGCTATGACTCTAACATTTTGATTACTGCTCAACAAACGCAAACGATAAGGATCAAACCATACATGAAAGACAAGAGAAATAACTTACATCGAGAACTTAATATCCAATTTACAGCAGCCATCGAAGATCTGGCGTCCCTGGAGGGCTGACTTTGCCGCTGCAGCAGCTTCATCGGATTCGAAGACAATAAATGCCTGAACAGCTGCTACCGAAGAGGCTTGTTAAATAGCTATGCCATTGGTAAAAGATACTGACCAGCCTTGTGGAAGATGACAATCTTCTCGATATTGCCATGAGGGCTGAAAACTTGGTGGAGTATATCCACGTTCATTTGATAGAGCGGATTATGAATAATGGCAAGAAGCACCCGAGAAGTCTCCACCTAGAAAACGAACAAGCATAAGCGCAAGGAACGTATGACTGACCAAGACACACAGACTTTGGGGTTTTCGGATTCGCTCAGCTTCTGGCGCGAGGAATACTCGACCTGGACTTCCTTCCCCCTGCAACACATTTGAAAATGACAACAAACAGAATGTGAATTTATGGTACCTCAGGAGCGCCTGGTCCTCAGAGAAGTGCTTGATAACACTCCTTGCTTCCTCTACGTCTCCCATTTCCAGAAGTGCCTACGACAGCAAGACGATTTAGAAAGAACTGAGAAATAACGAAAACGCATACATCTCTCCCTGATCTCATCACAATGAACTTGTTTATCGATCCAAATGGTTTCACAAGATCTGTGAGCTCCTCCTGCAAGAAATTCCACACTAAGAAAACCCCACATTTTCGCAAGCGCACACACCTGAGTGATCTCGTCCGCTTGTGTTCGGAAGAAAAGAACCTTTGACGGAGCCTACATAAAAACAGGTGTAGTTAGAACTTATAGAATCCATCTATGGAGACCAAACCGATGATTGTGCCAAGGTCGTCGTGGCGAAGCAGCGTCCCTGGAAGAGTCCATCGCTCTGCGAGCCAAATGTGGTAGAGGAGAGAAAGCGGCTGCTGGTCAGGAGGTGCCTGGCGCTCCTCGCAACCCCCGCGAAGCGCATTCTCCCCCTTTCTAGCTAAGAACCCTTCGGAGAAGCGAGCCCTAAGATATAGCTAAACCCTAAACCATAAACCCTGTAAGGAATATGTGGATCCAACGGCTGGCCCCGCTGGTTCGTCGGATCTTTTCGCGAAGAACCCTAGCTCGCTGTAAGGATCCCCGAGAACATCATGTATGGCGCCGGATTCGCCAAATCCATCTCCGAAGCGTTGTGAGCAGCTTGAGATCCGAGCTTGGCATTGGAATGTAGGCTACACGCCGTGAGCAGCGATGTCCACGCCTCGGCCCCGGCAGGAAATGGCATGCTGCCGATCGCGTCCAGCGCCTCCTGGAGCCATCCGGATCTCCCAAGAATGTCAACGATGCAGTGGTAGTGCTCGCTGCCAGGGATTATCCCGTGATCCGGCCACATCGATGCGAAGTACTCGCAGCTCTGGATCACCATCCCGGCGTGGCTGCAAGTTGAGAGGAGCCCGATGAATGTGATCCCGTTTGGAGCGACGCCGTCCAAGACCATCGATCGCAGGAGATTTCTTGCGGTGCCGTGATGTCCCGCCTGGGAATACGCCGCAAGGAGCGCGTTCCACGAGACAACATCGCCGATTCCAGAGATCTTGTCGAAGATTACGTGAGCATCGGCCAGAGATCCACACTTGCCATACATGCTGATGAGCGCATTCGCCACTGGGAGCTCCGATCCAGCGCCACACCCGCGGAAGCTCTCGTGGATCGTCCTGCAGCGATCTAGAGATCCAACGCTGCTGGCCGCATCGGCAATGGTGACGAGCGTGATCGCGTCAGGCAGGACGCCTTCAAGATCCATCCGCTGGAAGAGCCTGATTGATTCCTCGCCTTGGCCGTCCTCGACGAGACCCTGGATCATCGTGTTCCAAGAAATGACGTTCCTGTGGGGCATCTCCAAGAACAAAGCCCTAGAATCTTCCATTTGCCTGTTCAAGGCATATGCCGCGAGCATGGCATTCCAAGCTATCGCATCCCTCTCCGGCATCTCTTCGAAAATCTCCCGCGCGTTCTCAAATTTTCCCGCCTCGCCGAAGAGCTTGATCATGGCCGTCCAAGTGACCACATCGCGCTCGCCCATTTTAGAGTAGAGCTCCGCGCCCTCGTCTATGGCGCTCTCGATTGCTAGGGCGAGTATCATCGAGTTCCAGGAGATCACATTCCAGTGAGGCATCGCTCTGAATATCCTCCTCGATTCTTCCAGATTCTCGGCCTGCGTGTAGACGGAGATCATCGTGTTCCAGGACACCACGTCTCGATCGCGATCTGGCATTCGATCAAACACAGCTCTGGCGCTGAAGGAATCCCGCCGCTCGCCGCAAGCTGCAATCAGCGCGTTCCAGGCCACGGTCATCGTCCAATCCAGGCGATCCAGGGTCGTCTCCAGCATCTGCCGCGCTTGATCGATCCTCCCGGCCATGGCGTAGGCTTGGACCATCGCGTTCATCGCTACTGCGTCCCGGTGAGGCATTCTTTCGAATAATCTCTCGGCTTCTTCTAGGTCATCGTTCTGTGCGTAGGCGAAGATCATCGTGTTCCAAGAAATCTCGTTCCGTTGCTTCATCGCGTCAAAGATCTTCCTAGCCTCGGCAAGATGCCGGTTCTGGGAATAAGCGTTAATCATCGTGTTCCAGGATACAAGATCTCGCTGCTCCATCCTATCAAAGATCTCTCGCGCCTCAGAAATCTTCCCCTCTCCAGCATACGCAGCCATCATCGTGTTCCAGGTAAAGAGATCCTTCTTCTTTGTTCTATCAAACAGTGCCTTGGCTTCTTCCAGGTCCCCATCTTGGGCATATGCTGCGATCATGGCATTCCACGAGACAACATCCTTGGAGGGCATCTCGTCAAAGAGATCTCTCGCTCGATCGATCTGCCCGTTGCGAGCGTATGCCGCGACAATGATGTTCCAGGAGTATGTGTTGGGCTGATCCAGGCGATCGAAAGCCGCTTGCGCCTTGTCCAATTGCCCGCACTTGCCATACATCTCGATGAGGAGATTTCCCAGGTATCTGTCATTCGCAAATTCACTCGAGGAGATTTTCTTGTAGACTTGATCCCCCTGTGAAGGGTCCTTGGAATTCCCACATTGCTTGAGGAGGTGAGCAAAATAGTCAGTGCATGATGATACTTGCACTAAAGCTCCATTGTGTGTTCTTCCAGTGGTTTTGGATTGGGTTGGGTTCTCCGGCATCGTCATTCGCGCAAAATGCAAATCCATTCCATTTCTACAGCGCTAGAACTAGCGCGCATTTTCGCTTAGATATCCTACAGGGGGCGTTCCTGGAAGGGTCCGGTACCGGCATTGCTCCAACCGGGCCATATGCCCACCTGGGGTTTTTTATTCCGGTTCCTTTCCCCCTTAAAAACAAGGACCGGTGCGCCTAATGGCAACCCGTACTGGGCCATGGGAAAGTATCTGGTCGTGGTGTCGCACTGGTCCCAGGAACGTCTATTTTTACCTTTTAAAGATTTTTTCACTCTACATTTGTATTTTTTTTGGTTATCTTTAACACAAGTGCTTTTCAGGATCTACGAGAGGGGGAATTTTAGGCCGTATGACCATGACATGTTCTACTCCTTCGAGCAGGATTACAACCGTGTAAAAACGTCAAAAGGAAAACGCATTTTACTTTTTAAAAGACTTTTTTTCGTTAGTAAAGGGAAAAGGTTTAACGGAGGTTTTAATTTTCTCATTTTACTTTTATAACCCCCCAAGTTTTAATGTAGCAAACGAGCCTTTGTTGTTAGGATGGCGGACGAAAGCGGTGGGGGCGGTGCGACGGTGCGAATCTTGCGATACAATCGTTCTCCTGCGCAGCGCGTATGCCCCAACACTGTCTCGGCGGAAGAGCTCAGCAACGAGTATGGCGACGGCACTCTTGCGCCCACAGGCGACACTTATGTTTGTGGTATTTATCTTTGCCTATCTTGTGTCTCATGTGCCTCTCTATCACGCAGCACTTCCTGCAAGCCAGCGCGCCGCTCTTGCGAAACTGGACGAAAGCACCTTACAATGGAAGTGCTTCTATTATTGTTGGCACTGCAGGAAAGCTGGGCGTCGTCGTCCCTGCGATAACGTACGGCCCCGGCTTCCCTCCACAAAGTCATTCGAGCCGATCTGGGTGGTGGGAAGCTTGTGGCGGGACGTCGAGCAGGCAAAGAAGCTAATGTCCTTGCAGCTGAAGACACAGGATCCAAACTTCCCCTCGGAAGAGCTGAGCCATGCAGAGCCATGCAGAAGCTACTGGGCGGGATGACCTTGGCGAGACTGAGGCCGCATGGCAGGCAAGCATGGACGGAAGAAATGGGCATTGCCGTTCTGGGGGTGGCGGCTGGCCTCGAGGTGGTGGCCTGGTCCGGGCTGGCCATGGACATGGTAGCGAGCCACATGCGGACGGTGAGCCACGTAAGTGGCGACCGTGACGCCGTCTTCACCGTGGATGCATTCGAGCCTATACTGGAGGAGGCAGCTGCGCGGATATGCAATCAAGATCACTTGTGTGCGGTGCTGGAGGTAGCGCAGCACGTTTTCAAGCAAGCTTACGTTGTGGAAGGGCCTCGAGGGGAAATAGTTCGGATTGTGCTGCTCTTGGCAATATATGCCTGTTGCAAGCACGAGGCAAGCTACAATAAGTTTAGCCACCCCGTCAAGCTCCAGGACGTGGTGACCAAGCTGTGTGGGAAACAGCTGCAATTAAAAGGGCTCGTTTATTTCAACCGCTTCATCTTCTTCAACCGAAAGAAGATCACCAAGGAGGACTTGCTCTTTTGCTTTGTGGGTGGTGTGGCGGTAATACCACAACCGAAGAAAGAGGCGTACGATGCACTGCTGCCTGTGCTGATGCCAGGGCCGGATGGGACATATGAGCTTTGGAATGACAGAATGCAAGCCCTGCCGGTTCAGATTCAAAACAGACATGATCAGGATCCAATGTGCAACGGTAACAATAATCGTCTGGCTCCTATTCGAGCTTGGAAGAAGCAGCGCATTGTCACGGATGGTGAGACCTTGAGTAATCCCATTGCCATTTACATGCATTTGCGAGGACATAAGAAGTCACCAGTTGATGGTAGTGTGTTTCTCAGGGTAAGTGGATAGAAGTGTTAGTTGTTTTGTGCAGGAGAAGGTTCTTATAGCTCTCATTAAGTTGTGCTCTGCAGTTTTCAAGCTAGATGATCATCTTGTCGGGAGTCGAGCAGAGATAGTCAGGCACAACTTTTTTAATTACTTTTAAATAATTTTAATACCACAACAATGGTTTACAGAAGTTGTTCGACTGTATATACATTTCTCACTGTTTGAAATGTATTCTCTATGTCCAATCATGGGCCGTTATCACTAAAAAATTTAGAGAGACATACAGTCCACTTCCGAGCCTGTAGATTACAGCACCTATGTGCAAAGCCTGTAAAATCGAAGCGTGTTTTGCTAGTTTTAGCTGACGTACGTGTTTATCAAGGTGACAAACGATGATCTAAAGTTCGTTGGAGCCACCATGTTTGCTACGTTTGATTCACTTTGCAGCTTACTTGCACCAAGTAAAGACATCCACGTTTCGGAAGAAGGTTCTCTAGGCAGTCCGCGGACCAAATCTCGTGCTTCACACAGCCATCCAGCTCTCCCAAGCAGATCAACCATGCAGGTATAGTGCACGGCGTCCGGCTCCACTCCATAGTCAGTGACCATCGAACTGAACAGAGAACAGCCGAGGTGGTGAAAGCCTCCATGGCTGCAAGCAGACAGGATGCTAACGAAAGTCACTTTGCTGGCTGAGAAACCATCCATAGACATTTCGTGAAGAACCTCAGCGGCAACCATGACATGGCCGCTCTGGCTGTACGCACTGAGGAGAACACTCCAAGAAACCAAGTCGTGTTCTACTCGGGCATCAAACATACTTCGTGCCACTTTCAAGTCACCAAACTTTGCAAACATGCTGAAGAATGCAGTGGCAACTAAGGTGTTGGATAGGAATCCGGTGTCGATGGCGATAGAGTAAAGATATCTTCCAAACAAGATAGCTTCGGTGGTCATCGAGCAGGCCTCCACAACAGTAAGAAAGCTCAACTCGTCAGCCTCGACTCCTTCCAGGTCCATAGTTTTAAAGAGATGGATCGCTTCTGGGTGATCTCCGTGCCGGACATAGGCTTGCATGATCGAGTTCCAGGACACCACATCTCGTTGAGGCATGGCATCAAAGAGCTTTCGTGCTCGCTCAAGCTGGTTTCTTTGGGAATAGGCGGTGATGAGCGTGTTGGACGAGATGAGATCAATCAAAGGCAGCCGGCTCAAAACAAGCTCAGCGTCATCGAGACGATCGTGCTGACACAAACCAGCAATGGCCAAGCTCCAGGAAGAAACACTGTGCTCGGGCATATTTTCCAGCAAAGTTTTCTGGAGCTCTCCCAGCTTGCTGCTGCTCTTCGAGTAGATTGACAGCATACAGTTCCAAGAGACGACGTCCCTGCACGGCATTTCTTCGTTAAAAATCCTCTCCGCCATCTCCAGTTCGTCTGAGAGCTCGCAAGATCTAATCATCACGTTCCAGGATACAATGCTCCTCTCGGGCATACTTTCAAAAGTTTCTTTCACCCTGTTAGGCTCCCCAGACCGTACGCACCCGGCCAGAATGGTTGTCCACGACACCACGTCCCGTACGGGAATGACTTCGAACAGTTCCCGTGCGAAACGCAGATGCGCGCCTTCCGCAAATGCCTGGATCATGCAGTTCCACGAGAGAAGATTCCACTGGGGCATGGCATCGTACACTTGCTTGGCATTACCGTGCATGCCGTACTCTCCGTACATGGCCATAAGTGTGTTCCACGACGTTATGTTTTTCATTGGCATGGAATCAAAAGTTTCTTTGGCGGGAGCGATTTCTCCATTCGCGGCAAATGCCGAAATCATGGCATTCCATGAAACAAGATCTTTCTCGGGAACTTGCTTAAAGATTTTCTCCGCGAAATCTACTCTCGAGTTCTCTCCGTACGCTGTGATCATCGCGTTCCACATCGAAGCGTCCCTGGCAGGAACTTCCTCAAAGAACATCCTCTCCGCATCCTCCAGATGCCCCGCTTTGGCATATGCCGAGATTAAGGAACACCACGCGACGGAATCTCTATACGGCATTTGATGGAAAAGGTTCTTTGCTTCTCTCAGATCGCCGGTTCTTCCGTATGCGCTCACAATCACAGTCCAGGAAATCGCATCTCTCTCCGGCATTTCGTCAAAGATCTCTCTCGCTAGCTCCAAGTTGCCCCACTGCGCGTAGATCTTCATCATCAACGTCCATAGCTGGATGTCCTTTTTCTCCTGGCGATCAAATAGCGCCCTCGCATCGATCACGTCCCCTGCATCGCCCAGCGCACGGATTATCGGGAAACAAACACTTGGAGTTCTTAAGGGTGGATCGATGGAATCGAGCAATGTTTTGGCTTCCTGGATCAACCCGTGATTGCAATACGCCTCCAATAGTACGAACAAAGTCCCAGGATCGCGCTGGTGAGGCATGAGATCGAATAGCTCTTTTGCGTCCTGGATTTGCCCGCAAGAAATAAATCCCCGGAGAAGGGCATTCCAGGAGATCTCATCCCTCTGTGGCATTCGATCAAAAAACTGTTTTGCTTCTTTAATCTTCCCACTCGCAGCGAGCGATTTGAGAATTAAATTCAATGAAGCGATCGTTTTATCGGGCATTTTCTCAAACAAATGACACGCTTGCTGTAGATGCCCACGCTTGGCGTATCCCCCAATCATTACATTCCAGGAGATGGAATCTCTCACCCGCATTCTATCAAAAACTTTCTTGGCTCCTTCTACGTCTTCCTGTTGTAGGTATCCAGATATTATGGGATTCCATGAAGCTGGATCATCGCTTTGATCGCGAATCGCCAAGTTCTCGGCCTCTTCGAGATGCCCCATCCGGGCATATGCCGCTATCATCGTGTTCAAGGCAACAGGACTCTGTTGTGGCATCGCATCAAACCAGCTTCGAGCTTGTGCCAAGTCCCCGTTGCGTGAAAATGCCGCGAGCATGATATTCCAGGAAAACTGATTTGGCGTGAGAATCTCTTCAAAGGCACCGTGAGCCTCGCTGATACACCCACACCGGCCATACATTTCTACAACCAGATTAGCGAGGAAGATGTTTTGTTGAAGCTCCTTGTGTGCCTTAACCTTAAAGTGGATCCTCTTGGCTTCCTCCACATCCCTTGAGATGCCAATTGACTTTATTTGCAATGCAAGAGATTTGATGGTTTCCATGGTTTCAGATTGGAATGGAATATAAAATGCAAACTTGTTGAAGGCTCTGGTGGTGCTGGGTTCAAATTCTTTGCAGGATTTAAAATATACATCAATCAATCACAACAACAAAACAATAAGAGGCGAGCCGTCGGATCGTCGGATTGCAAATATGTATGGTTATGAGAAAAATTGGGTTAGTGTAACAGGGTAACACCATTGGATGAGCAACTGCTGGCTGATTAGCTCGTGAGCCCATCTGGGAGATGAGCAATTGAGAAGCACTGAGAATTGTGAGAGTTGGAATGCTGGGCAAGGATGGGATGGCTTGGGCTTTGATTCTGTTTGAGTTTTTCCTCATCTCTCAGCCACTGCCAAGAGTTTTGGCAGAGTTATAACTGTAGATTAGAAATGGTGGCCAGACTCCGTGTACAGATCATGAACAAATCATCTCATGGCCACACACCTCCAAAATATTGACTGGTGTCTCCGTGTGATCTATATGATATTATGCAAACACGAAGGCATCACGGCATAATTTTTAACCCTTGAGTCTACGTTTCTATCCAGTGTTCTTCCCAAGCATCACTGGTATAAGCGCTGGGATTTTGGTCAAATGCCTTGCCTTGGACGTGCTAGGCATTGACTCAGTACTCGTTGTTTCATATCACAAAACAATTGCTCTCTATCTCCAACATAAGGTGCTCCGCAGTATATCCTAAAAGGTGACTTTTAAGAATGAAGCTTGCAAATGAAGTGTTAAAAACTTTCAAAATAATTATCAAGATTTCTCATATGTGCTTTCCAAGGGATCCTGGACGCAAAGGCATCAACCTAAAATGTGGGAAAGAAACAAAATACCATGTTTTTGTTTTTTATTTTTTTTCTCTCCCATTCATTGGTTAGTCCCCCTCAGCTGGATAGAAGTGGAATTGCAAATGTAATTCCACATTCCATGAAACTATGAAACTATGCCTACTTTAGAAGTTATGGATTAGCAAGGACATAATAAAAATGATTGTTGTGAATTTGTGAAGTGTTTGTTAATTGCTCAACATTGGTTGGGCAAATTACTAGTCTACTACTATAATGAGCAATCGCTAAACTGCTGGATCTTGCCAGTCAGCACGAAGTAACTTGGTAAATATTGCTTTTTATCGCACGTCCTTTGGAAATAGAGGCCGAACAGCATGGGGAAAGGAGGATCCAGCGGCAGCGCTGGCCAAGTAGCTGCTTAGATCCTCAAGTCCGCAGCAAGATCACGAGCTTTGGCAGCGATTCAAAAGTCCGGGAACCCGTCGAGGCCTCTCTCAGCCGTCGTCGAGTATGCTTCTCCAACCACAGTACGTCCAGCAGAGGTGTATGAACTCACAGTGAAGGATGCGCTACTGGTGGCCTGGGATCGCCCTTACCAGGATCCTCTCAAAGTGTTGGACTACGTTGCGCAGGTTATTGATGGCATGTTTCGCCAGTGGAACTCGGATGGGGAGCTGCTTACGATGGTGCTGCAGAGCTCTGGGTGGGGGAAGTCGAGGTTACTGCTACAGCTCTCTACAAAAGGCTTCCACGTAGTGTACGTCAACTTCCTCAGGCTTCGGTCTACAAGCATCCCAGGTCGAAGTCCTGTGGCTCAGCAGCTGATTGACAGTAAACAGGGCGACGATCCACGCGCCGTGGCAGCATGGATTCTCGCCATTCTAACTCGGATTGAAGGGAAAACCCCACAGGATTGGGTGACAGAACAGTCGGAGCCACATTTCGCCATAAACGTGGCTACAAGGTAAGCGTGAGACTATCTTCTCTTTTTGTTTGCTGACTTTGTGCTGCTGGTGCTTGTTCCTCCAGCTACCGTGACCTCGTTGAGGAGGTGCTGGAGAAAGTCCCTGAGTCCAGACCGGCTCTAGGAGAGGACTGGAATCGTAAGCCCCTGTCTCGTTGGTTTGCGCACAAGGCCAAGAAGATTGTCTCGCCTGAGATGACGATCCTCGTCTGCATGGACGAGGCGGCTTCATTGTTTACAGAGGTGACCGGCTCATTCCTGGCCTGCAGGAGCTTTTTCTCAAGCATTCCGCGCGACATAAAGGTGTTCGGACTGGTTGCTGACACTGCAGGAAAGCTGGACCTCGTCGTCCCTGCGAGAATGTATGACCCTGGCTTGTGGGCACGAGCTCCCTCGATGTCGTCATTCAAGCCGATCTGGGTGGTGGGAAGATTGTGGCGAGACTTTGAGCAGGCAAAGAAGCTAATGTCCTTGCAGCTGAAGACACAGGATCCGACATTCCCATTGGCAGAGCTGACAAAGGAGCTGTTCAGGTGGGGGCGGCCCCTGTGGTGCATCCCGCCCAATAGCTTCTGCATGGCGAACATCACTACATCCAACTTGCCTTCACTGTTGTCGGTGGTGGCAACTTTGGTGAGATATGATATTCACAGAGGTAGAGTTAATATGTCTATTTAACAGCACAATCTTTTGTAACATCATTCGGTAAAGTAAATTTATCATTATTAAATCATCATCAAGTAAAATAAGTGTCAAAAATTCTCTGTAAATTATTAGTCACAAAGTAACTAACAATCACTTTTCAACTTACATTTCACAAGACTTAAACATTAAATTCATGTCATCAAGTCATCTACTTATCCAACATGAATGTAATACCCTAGATATAAGATAAAGGTTCATTGACAAGCACAGACCACTCAAATCTAAGTCAACCACAATAAACTTACCAACACATCTAACCAATAATTTTGAACATGCCCTGAAGAGATTAGCTATGCATGATTAACAGTTAGTTAAAACTAAAGTGAAGATCATGAGATGAACTCATATTAATACACAACTTCCTCATAAACAAAATTATAATACGGGTACTAACATCTTAACCTTAAACAATTAAATTGAATATCATCATCCTTAGTAAGGTGTAACGTTACCATGACCAAATCAAGATCAATGAGAGCTCATTACTCTTATAAAGTTTAACAAAATGCAAGGTACAACTTGCCACCTAGCATAATATTACAGAATAAATGCACAAAGGTTATTTTTCTAGAAAAGCATAATAGTCACTTTTTTACTTATTCAACTCAATTGCTTTAGCCCTAAAAGTTAGCATCCCTTTTAAGCCGTATCATACAAACTAATTACTTAGATTTAAACCAACTAAAGTTAACTTTAACCCCTTCACTAGTTTATATTGGTTTATGAAAATGGAATGGTTTTCGGGTAAAATGATCAATAGATCAGTCATTGGAAAAGTCTAAGAAAATTTATGAAAAATTTTCTACGTAAAAAAAGAATAACTTTTAGTTCAAAAATACAAGCTTTCAAACCTCAATCAATTTCCTCCTACTAATAACTTCATATAAGTTCACCTCAATATAAATTTTCATGACCCAACAGTATGTCTAAGCATCAAATATCATGCCTATATTTCCAATATCTAACAATGACATTCACAAAATGCAAAATGAACATCTAAGGCTTGGTCATGAAAATTATATCTTCAGATATTTATATTGCACTAACATTCTTCTTTAAGCATCTTCAAAATCCAATATGAAGCTAAAACACTAACAAGAAAAATAACATAAAAAATCAAGTTTTAAAGAAAATTGCTTATCACTCAAAAATACAATGCCACTTCCACTAATACAATAGCAATATCAATGCCTCAACTACACACTTTCTCTATCTAACAATTTATTCCAAGTGTTAACAAATAAACTAACAAACCATAGCAAGTGAATGTTATAACCTTTTCCAACAGCTCAATGAACAAATCCTTAAGGAAATAAAGTACTAACTTAAGCTTAGCATAAAGGATTATTATTAAAAACCAAGTTAAAGCTACTTCAATATTACTTATTGCAAGTAGACTAATTTCACTATCAACCATTTGAGGTTGATCGCTATTTGACCAAATAATTTCATATACACATGGCTTACGACCACATAGATATGATATAAGTATTATAATGATTTGATCATCAATCGAGCAACATGAACAATGCCTATATCACTACTATAAAAGTTTATGTGAATATCAAATGCCAACTTAATTTGACAAATAAATGCCATATCACCAATAGAGATTTATAACACTTAATACCACTAACTTTTGTTTGTAACACAGATAATCTCATGCCATTTTCTTTTCGACCAAACTCAACATTAATCCAATAACAAGTTATTTAAGGATTAATACCAAAATTCTTCAGAAAAGAATTGAGCATTGGAACCCAAGTCTAATAACAAGCCTAGACAAAATGGTTTAGCACTTCACTACTATCCATCCTACGACTTGCCACTTGTAAGACCATCATAACTAAGACGTATGAAGTTAAGGACTCTCAATTGCATGATGTGAACATGAGTAATGAAATTACATTTCGTTGCAAATCATTTCTCCAAGAAAAGAAAATTATTTACATGTTTGATCTTTCGTCTCTGGTAACTCTTTTTTTGGACTTAACTTTGTCCAAACCTCAAACTTGCTTTCACACTGCTTTCAATCCAATCTAAAAAAGAGTTTATGAGAGAGCACGGCAATGACTATTTGAACTAATAGGCTAATCCCTACAATCTTGATTGATTCACTTACAATCATATCTAAGAAGGATCCACTAATGTTGTGTTAAACAACTACAAATTAGCCTATTCACCACTTATAGCAAACCTAGGAGAGGTTTATTTTTACCCACGGTACATGGAACAACTCAAAAATCACCAATATGCTAACATTAATCCTACCATCTTAAAGTGTAACCTTGAATTGCTAATATGCCTCACTCACAAAATGAAAATGGTAAACTCATGCAAAATGGTATACCTCAAATCCATTTTATGAGCCCAAGTGGAAGCTCATATAATCTAGTACGAAAAGGTAATCAAAGTCTATACCCAAAGAAAGATTACAAAGTCATAGCACCTAAACATGTACTCACTTGGATCATCATTTTCATCACTGTATATGTAATGAAATTAATTGCCGTATTTATTGAGGGTTTTTACCCTTTATCATATGATGATTTACCATAGGATAACTATAAAGCATAACCTAAACCCACGTGTTATATGCCATGTTCCAAAAACAACGGAGTGGAATCCAAGTTTCAAAACCTTGGGCCATTAAATGAAGAAATGGAGCCAAACTCCCAAGTTTGCAGCCAAAAAGCAAATAAATAATAACATAGAGTGACTCTTGAGCGTTCAGCCTAAGGAGTAAAGGGAATAGAAGCACGAAGTGATGTTAGAATAATCTTAAAACTTCTAGCATCCTAATGTCAAGACCAACATAAAACAGAGCCAAATGAGGATATGGGTACTCCATTAACTAACATGGTGTGAAACTTAGGCTTAAACCTTGCAAAACAAAGATAAACATACAAACAAAAACTAAATTATGCCTTAGATTAGTCAACCATGCTCAACCTACCCACTATACATTTGGAACCCACCCCCTAATTGAAACAAATAACCCCTTTTAATTGCAGCTGTTTCTTAGACAGCTTGGTCACCAAGTCTGGGAGCTTGACAGGGTGGCTGAACCTATTGTAGCTTGCCTCGTGCTTGCAACAGGCATATATTGCCAAGAGCAGCACAATCCACCCAACTATTTCCCCTCAAGGCCCCCCCACAACATAAGCTTGCTTGAAAACACACTGCACCACCTCCAGCACTGCACACAAATGATCTTGGCTGCACAGTATCTGCGCAGCTGCCTCCCCCAGTATAGGCTCAAATGCGTCCACGGTGAAGACGGCGTCATGGTCACCACTTACATGGTTCACTGTCCGCATGCCACCACCTCGAGGCCAGCCGCCACCCCCAGAACGGCAATGCCCATTTCTTCCGTCAATGCTTGCCTGCCCTGCGGCCTCAGTCTCGCCAAGGTCGTCCCGCCCAGTAGCTTCTGCATGCGCGAACATCACCGCGTCCAACTCTCCTGCGCTGTTGTCGATAGCAGTGCCACCTGAACAGCTAGTGTCACCAACCAGTCCGAACACCTTTATGTCACGCGGAATGCTCGAGAAAAACCTCCTGCAGACCAGGAATGAGCCGGCCACCTCCGTAAACAATGAAGCTGCCTCGTCCATGCAGACGAGGATCTTCATCTCGGGCGAGACAATCTTCTTGGCGTTGCGCGAACCAACGAGACAGGGGCTTACAATTCCAGTCCTCTCCTAGAGCCGGTCTGGACTCAGGGACTTTCACCACCACCTCCTCAACGAGGTCACGGTAGCTGGAGGAACAAGCACCGGCAGCAAAAAGTCAGCAAACAAAAAGAGAAGATAGTCTCTAGCCACGTTTATGAAATGTGGCTCCGACTGTTCCGTCACCCAATCCTGTAGGCTTTTCCCTTTGATCTGAGTTATAATCACGCTGGCACAGTGCGAGGATCGCCCTGCTTACTGTTAATCAGCTGCTGAGCCACAGGACTTCGACCTGGGATGCCTGTAGACCCAACCCTGAGGAAGTTGACGTACACTACGTGGAAGCCTTTTGTAGATATCTGTAGCAGTAACCTCGACTTCCCCCACCCAGAGCTCTGCAGCACCATCGTAAGCAGCTCCCCATCCGAGTTCCACTGGCGAAACATGCCATCAATAACCTGCGCAACGTAGTCCAACACTTTGAGAGGATCCTGGTAAGGGCGATCCCAGGCCACTGCTAGCGCACGCTTGACTTCCAGTGGATATACGACTGAAGGACGTCTTGTGGTTGGAGAAGCATACTCGACCACGGCTGAGAGAGGCCTCGACGGGTTCTCGGCGTTTGGAATCGCTGTGAGCAGTCTGGCCAACCAGTCCTTATCAGCCTCCACCAATAAGAGAAGCACTTTCGTTGCAAGGTGCTTAAGAGGACTGCCAATAGGGGCGGCGTTAAAAAGCCATTCGACCAGCTTGTCTCGAGACAGTGGCAGTGACGGATCGAACGGGGGCATGCCTTCGGCCAGTTTCTCAAGAGTGTTGCGCAGGAAGTGCTGCGTGAGAGAGGCATGAGACACAAGATAATTTGCGTACATACCACAAACATAGGTGTCGCCTGTGGGCGCAAGCGTTACTCGTTGCCGAGCTCTTCCGCCGAGACAGTGTTGGGGTATAGGCGCTGCACAAGAGGGTGATGGTGTCGCAAGATTCGCACCGTCAAACCACCGCTTCTATATTAATAGTCACAATGTGCATTAAAGTCCATAAAGTTTTTATAAAATCTTTGGAGAGAATATGCCTAATTTTCTTCCAGAGCGATCCTCGCTTTGATCCACGCCTCCACCGCGGCTCCAGTCGAGCAGTAGTACCCCGCCGGCTCGGTGTTCTCCGTGAAGGGCGCCCCGAGCTTCTTGAGCAGCGTTCCAACGATCGGGTTAAGCCTCTGTCCACTGCGCACTCGTCCCACGCCCGTCTCGATGATGAGATCCTCCGGGAGCTCGTCCCCTTCCCGGACAGCCGCCTTGAGCGAGCTCACCCAAGCTTCGATCGCGCACTCGGCCGCGGGCATGGAGAGCGTCCGGAGGTTGAGCCGCCACAGCGATGGGAGATTGGTCTGGAGGCCATCGTAGGCTCCCACCGCAACTCCCATGGCGAAGATCTTGTGAGCTGCGTGCTTCATCCCCACGCTGGAGCAGATGTCGATGAGGCAGTTGCATAGCGGCTTGCGCGAGTCCGTCTCGGGGTAGTCGCTGATGAACTTCTCCACCATCTCCGCCACCTCGTCCCTGGATCTCGGCTCTTCCTTGCGGACGATCGCGCTCATGAGCTCGTGGAGAGGAGCGTTAAACTTGTCCAGGCAGTCGAGGATGGCGAGGCGCTCGTCGTCGCTCTTGGCCATGGCCATGCACGAGAGCAGCATCCCGCTCACTCGCTCGTCCGGCGAGCAGCAGCCACTCTCCATCATCTCGTCAAAGATCTTGCTCGCCTGCTCGATCTCCCCGGCGAGCTTGCAGGCCCGGATCATCACCGTGAAGAGTGGAGTGTCCGGCTTGCCGTTGAGCGCCACCACCTTGTCGAACATCCTCCTGGCCGGATCCACCATTCCCTTCGTCGCGTACGTGTTCATGGCCGTCCTGTACGTGAGATGATCCGGGTTACACCCCGCTCGCTTCATCTCCTTCAAGATATCCTCCGCTTGCTCGACTCGGCCTCCCTCGACGCAGGCTTTCATGAGCGAGTTGTACACCGCGACGTCGCACTTCCAACCCTCCGTCTTGAGCGTCTCGTAGACCTCGAATGCTTGGTCGTAAGCTCCGACTCTCGTGTACATCTCCACCAGGATGCTCAGTGTCACCGGCGTCGGGCTCACTCCGGAGGTTCTCATCTCGTTGAACACCTTCTTGGCCTGGTTCACTTTTCCGGCCTTACTCAGCGTCCCCATGAGCGTGTTCATGATCACGGCGTTGGGGGAGCTTCCACTGTCTCGCATCTCCTGGACGAGCTGCATGATGGATTGGTAGTCCCCGGCCCGGGCGTAGACGTTGGCTATAGCGCCGTAAGTCACAGTGTCGAGCTTCCAGTTGACGGACTTTAGCTTCTCGTAGAGCTCCACGGCCTCGTTCACTCGTCCCACTCGCCCATACATGTCGATCACCGAGTTGTAAGTCACCTCGTCTGGGACGATCCCTTCGCTCTTCATCCTCTCGAACCACTTGAGAGCTTCTTCCGGCTGGCGGCAGCGCTTGGCGCAGTTGATCAGAGTGCTGAAAGTGTAGTTGTCCGGCTGGATCCCGCGACCCGTCATCTCCTCGACGAGCTTCTCCGAGAGCTCGAGCTGGCGGCCATTGCGTAGGATCTTGAGCATCACGTTGTACGTGTACCTGTTGATCTCGTAGAGCTCAGGTCGGGCCTTGAGCCACTCGAAGAAGGCGAGAGCTTTCTCCCAGCGGTTGATGTTGTTGAGAACCGTGACGATGTTCTTGGCCGACAGGGATTTGTCCCAGCTCTCCAGCGCCGCCTCTACATTCCCAGTCTTCTGGACGATCTTGAGAACCTCATCAACTCTAGCAAACTGTGGAGTCCATTTCGTGTACCTGGGAATCGTTTTCGCGCTGGCACTGGACTCTCCAGTTTCCTCGGGAGTGTTGGAACTGGTCCTGTTCTCCTCGCCATTGTCGAGCTCTAGAGAAGAAGCTGAGGAGGCTGCCTTGGCCAAAAATCTGCCATGACTATGGTGGCTGTGCGTGCTGCTGGTAGAAAACGGGCTTAGAGTAGTCGCTGGCTTACTCGTTGGAAGTGCCCACAGCATGATTCTGGAGAAATTGCTTGCTATCTATCTATCTACCTGTACGATTAGCCGCGAGAGCGAAAATGCGCGCTAGTTCTAGCGCTGTAGAAATGGAATGGATTTGCATTTGATCGAGTACCTTTGCGCGAGTGACGATGCTGGAGAACGCAACCCTGTTTCTAGGGCTCTGGCGTAATCCAAAACCACTCGAGAACAAACAAATGCAAGTGTGACACTGACTATTTTGCTCACCTCCTCAAGCAATGTGGGAATTCCAAGGACCCTTCACAGGGAGATCGAGTCTACAAACAAATCTCCTCGAGTGAATTTGCGAATGACAGATACCTGGGAAATCTCTTCATCGAGATGTATGGCAAGTGCGGGCAATTGGACAAGGCGCAAGCGGCTTTCGATCGCCTGGATCAGCCCAACTTATCGCGGCATACACTCGCAAAGGGCAGATCTATCGAGCGAGAGATCTCTTTGACGAGATGCCCTCCAAGGATGTTGTCTCGTGGAATGCCATGATCACAGCATATGCCCAATATGGGGACCTGGAAGAAGCCAAGACACTGTTTGATAGAACAAAGAAGAAGGTTCTTTTTACCTGGAACACGATGATGGCTGCGCATGCTGGAGTGGGGAAGATTTTGGAGGCGGAGAGATCTTTGATAGGATGGAGCAGCGAGATCTTGTATCCTAGAACACGATGATTAACGCTTATTCCCAGAACCGGCATCTTCCCGAGGCTAGAAATACTTTTGACGCGATGCTCGCCTACGCACAGAACGATGATCTAGAAGAAGCCGAGAGGTTGTTCGAAAGAATGCCTCACATCGATGAACGCGATGGTCGAAGCCTGCGCCATGGCCGGGAGGATCGATCAAGCGCGCAAGATGCTGGAGACGACCCTGGATCATTGGACGATGACCGTGTCCTGGAACGCGCTGCGCGACATATCCCTTACAGGGTTTATGGAATCTTCCAGGGACGCTCCATCGCCACGACGACCTTGGCACAATCATCGGTTTGGTCTCCATAGATGGATTCTATAAGTTCTAACTACGCCTGTTTTTATGTAGGCTCTGTCAAAGGTTCTTCTAATCCGAATGCAAGCGGACGAGATCACTCAGATGTGTGCGCTTGCGAAAATGTGGGATTTTTTTAGTGTGGTATTTCTTGCTTTGGATCCATAAACAAGTTCAGTGTGATGAGATCAGGGAGAGATGTATGCGTTTTCGTGGTTTCTTTGGTTTTTTCTGGAACTGAGAGACGTAGAGTGTTATCAAGCACTTCTCTTAGGACGGCCCTTGGCACAATCATCGGTTCGTCCGTAGGCACTTCTGGAAATGGGAGATGTAGAGTGTTATCAAGCACTGCTCTTAGGACCAGGCGCTCTTGAAGTTTTCATTTTGTCTGTTGTCATTTTCAAATGTGTTGCAGGGACTCCAGTTCGAGTATTCCTCGTGCCAGAAGCTGAGCGAACCTGAAAACCCCAAAGTCTGTAGTCATTCGTTTCTTGTGCTTATGTATGTTCGTTTTCTATGGACGCTTCTCGGGTGCTTCTTGCCATCATTCATAATCCGCTCTATCAGATATACTCCACCAAGTTGTCAGCCCTCATGGCAATATCGAGAAGATTGTCATCCAGGACATACACGGCAGCTGCAAAGTTTCCTACCTTAGTGGCACACACAACGCGGGATCTTGCGAGAGGTAGATTCACACAGGATCGTCTCCTTTCCTTCTGAGCAGCAGCAAGAAGAAAGCAGGATTTATCTGCACGTTCGAAATCAGTGGGTATGAAATTACTCGGATTCTACAATATGGAATTTATGCCACAGAAGCGCGTGATCTTGCTGCTGCCTTGAGGATCTAAGCAGCTACCTGGCCCCTTTCCCCATCCTGCTCTACCTTCCATTCGTCTTGGACGTGCGGTAAGCAATGTTTACTGAGTTACTCCACGCTGACTGGCCAGATCCAGCAGTTCAGAAATCGCTCGTTATAGTAGTAGACTAGTAAGTGCCAAATTAACAAACTTCACAAATTCACGACAATCATTTTTATTATGTCCTTGCTGTAATCTTCTGCCAAAATGGAAGATTCAACTTTCAAACTGGAAGTTAGCATAGTTTCATGGAATGTGGAATTACATTTGCAATTCCATTTCTATCCAACTGAGGAGCATGGGACTAACCAATGAATGGGAGAGAGAACAAAAACCAGGTATTTTGTTTCTTTGGCACATTGTAAGTTGATGCCTTTTCCAGAAATCTTGATAATTATTTTGAAAGCTTTTAACACTTCATTTGCAAGCTTAATTCTTAAAAAGTCACCTTTTAGGACATGATGCAGATATGTTTTGTGATATGCAAAAGAAAAACAATGAGTACTGAGTCAATGCCTAGCACGTCCAAGGCAAGGCATTTGACCAAAATCCCAGCACTTATATTAGTGATGCTTGGGAAGAACACAGGGAAAATCTGGATAGAAACGTACTCATTAAACATTATGCTGTGGTACCTTTGCGTTTGCATAAGAATGGATATATTGCTCACAAAAGACCAATGTAGATCACACAGACACACCAGCCAATATTTTGGAGGTGTGTGGTCATGGGATGATTTGTTCGTGAGTCTGGCCACCAGTTATCTACAGTTATAAGTCTGCCAAACTCTTGGCAGTGGCTGAGAGATGAGGGAAAACTCAAACAGAATCAGAGTGCAAGCCATCCCATCCTTGCCCAGCTTTCCAACTTTCACCAATCACCGATCTTAGTGAGCGAATGAGCCAGCACTTGCTCATCGAATAGTGTTGCGGGCAGCTGGATGGAAAATGGGCGAGATGAGCCCAATTCTTGACCACCCCTGGTGACCTCTCGCGCACCCAGTAGGGTCTCAGGCCTGAATCACGTATCCAATTTCTCTAATGTGGATTGAGGAAAATTTAGGTTAATGTTTGTATAAAATGCCAACTTGTTGAAGGGTTCAAATTCTTTGCGAACTAGCATAATAAAAATTATACTATTTATAATATGGAAAATCATAAAATTAATGAGCATACAATGCATATGTTTAATATTAGAAATATGCCAGACTAAAGAGTAGGGATACAAGAAAGTTTTAGGGCACACTATTTCAGTTGTTAAAAGGAGGGAAAGGAAAAATTCTTGATCTTGGATAAACTGAAGTTTTGTATAAGTTATCATCCTCTCGTATGTTAATGCTTAGGTTAAGGATTATTTACAATACTATGTCATGGCAAATTAATGCAATTGGATTACAATATAAATATATTATAATATATTTCATAGCATTATTGGCTATTCTTCATAAGAGTTAAATGAGGTCCCTTAAAAGATAGTTGTCCCAAAAAGGAAAGCAAATAAACTAAAATATTGGTATCCACAATGCTGGTGAAGTGAACTTCTTGACATCCAGATATAAGTTGAAATTGCTGAAATGGTATCTCAATGGATAAATGTTACCCAAAAACTATATTAAGATTAATGGAATTTAATATTTTTACACACAAGTATACTAAATAAGTAATATACAATGTTAGCTAGGAAAATGTTTGTTTGTATGCCTTAAATTTTTAGTGAATTCTCTCAAGATACCAATAGATTTTATTTGTAATGCAAGAGACTTGATACTTTCTATTATTTTGTATGGAATTATTAAATCCTACATAACATCCAATCAAAAGCATTTGATCAAACTATAATAGAATGAAGTTTATATTATACTTCAAGGTTATATATCTTCAATTTAGAAATGAAATATTATAAGATATCTATATGGAAAACACAACAATTGAAATAATATACCCTATGGCCATTGTTTAATTAAGCTATTTGTTAATGTATTATATAAAGATATCTTACCAATGTCTTCAATTATAATTGCACTTTCTGTTGTAATTTTACTATTAGTGTTTGAAGTCCATATTATATTGTGGATATCATCATAAATAAAAAAGTTTTGATTGGTGTCTAAAATACAATAGCAATTAAATCCTAAATTTTTTGTTTTAGTTTCCCATATTTTTTTGGTTAAAAAGTAAAATGCTAAATTACAATCTTTTTCCATTTTTAATTTATACATTGCATTTGGTGAAACAATAGAGTTTTTTGAGAGAAGATAAGATCCAATATCATTTATATTTCCACTTACCAAGGATGATCTATAAATCCAACAGTCATTATCATTTGTATTTATCTAATAACATCATAAAATATTTTAGTAGATCATTAAAACATTTATTATTACCTTTTGTATAGTGGTATTATTTATGTTTTTTAATGAATCGCGATAGTAAAGATGTACTCTATATTCTAATCCTAGAAATTCATGTACTGCTTTAATACGGGCATATAATCCATTTTGGGCTTCCTCCAAAACAGCTAAAAGAAGTGTTTTAAAAACTATTTTAAATGTCTCACCACTAACTTTTATTTGTGGACCAATAAGACTGCAAGAATTATTAAAATTAAAAGCATAGATATGAATTTTAACATTTATTTGAATTACAGATACCCCTATACATTCAATAGGAAAAACTCCAGTTCTTAAAATTGTCCCATTTAGAATTGAATTAAGGAAACAATTAATTGTTTCTTCTATAGTAAACACATCATTTATTGTAATTCTACCTGGAACTGTTTTCTGTATAAAATTTACTGTTTCCACTATGAAAAATAATAAAGAAAAAAATATTACAAAAATAAAGTACGTCATACTTCTTACCAAGAAAGGAACTAAATTTTAACCTATTTAAAGACATTGCATAAAAAGTTCAAATAAAACATCTAAAGCTTTAATTTTTTTTTCCTTTATATCTTTATATGATTCCTATGACACAAATGCTTAAAATAGAAGAGATGGAATTTCAGCAATCTCATATTAGATAGGTAAAATATAACGTTAGCGTTTGCTGGAGTTCCTTGTGTGCCTTAATTTTTGAGTGAATCCTCGAGATATCATTTGCAATGCAAGAGATGGAATTATTAAATCAACTATGGAAGTTTATATCATAACAAAAGAATAAAATAAACTTCCAACAAGGTCACATGAAGAGAATGGTATTAATGTCTGTTCTTGTCGATCCAGCAATTCGAGAAAAACTTATACGTCCGGCACGGCTAGCTTGTCTAGGGGCCCAGGTGTACAAGCAGCTCGGCCAAATCTCTTTCACGGGACCACACCCGTCAGATGTTGGAGAGCTTGGAGAAGGCCAGTCGCACGGTGGATTTCTTCACCACCGTCGCGTGCTTGCACACCAGCGCTTCCGTCGCCTGTTCCTCGTTGTCAAAGTGGACCAGCGCTTGCTTCTTGCCGTTTGCCTCGAAGATCTTCACGTTGAGGATGTTGCCGTGCGGGGACAGATGGTTCATCAGGTCCACCTCGGTGATGTCCGTCGGCAGGCTCGAGACGTGGATCATCTTGGTCGGGGAGCAGCAGTACTTGTAGTTCTTGAGCGCGTTGCGGTTGAAGCGGTTCAAGTTCGATGACGAGTAGTCGTGAGTGTCTTGCGATGGATTTATCTGCGAGTGCTTAGAGAAGTTCACTTCCATTCGCTTCTCAAAGAGCATCGTTCCCTGCCAAGCAAACACGTTTGCAGAGTTTTGGAATGGAATAAATAACAATACTACTTACTCTCAAGTAGTACACTGCAAGCTCGGCTTGATAGCCATCGCCCATTTGTATGAGTGCGTGGTCGGGCTTGTTGTGCAACATTTTTATCCGAATTATGTTTCCATAGTTGGAGAACAAGTTAAATAGTTTGTCCGCATCGACCTTCTGCCATATTCCAAGCGTAAGGACTACTATATATTTGCCAGTGAACGTGGTTACCTCGGGAGCTAAGTTTGATACGAGAAGAGTGCATCGCTCGTTCGTACCAGTGACGCCGGGAGGAAGTGTGCCACCAGACGCAGCCGCTGCAGCAGCCGCTGACGGTGTCATTGGAACCTGACAAAACAAAGGAAGTAAAATGTCTGAAGAGAACAAGAAGGAAGAAATTTTTATGTACCTGATAGCCAAGAGGCTGAGCACCAGGAGCCTGCTGGAAGTTGACTGCAAGAGAAAGCAAAATACTTTAAACACCTGCCAGACACACAAATTTTCTCCCACCTATTTGTCCAGCCGGTCTCGGAGGCATAGCGTAGATGTTACCGTCCAAAAGAGACTGTTGAAGCAGAACGTTTGCCTAAGTTGACGAAGGCGCTTAATGCTCGGAATCGCCAAACCAAAAATAAAAAACTCACCATCATGTTATTACCCCCAGGCGGGTTCTGAGATCGCCCAGGCTCGTTTGGTAGAGAACTATTTGTGTAGTCCCTGCAATATTTATCCGCTAAAGCATCAAACAAGACAAAAAAAGAGGAAAATATCGGAGGAGGTTGGTACCTTGTCCGTTCGTTATTGAAGTTCACTTGGAGCTCCTGAAGGCTGTTATAATGTGCGACATCAGCTTGATACATGAAAGTAAGTCTTACAACGTACTTAGAAAACTGGATGTCCAATGTACAGCAGCCGTCATAGATGTTACGCCCTTGGAGAAGGGACTTTGCGTAAACAGCACTTTGCTGATTGTTGTACTGAATAAGCGCTTGCAGGCCTGCGTCAAAAGCACGAATGATAAAAGGCAAAAAGAAAAGTAGCTTCGCAAAATCACAAGCAACAGCAAAGCCTACGAGACAGAATAGAAAAGAGAAATAAAAAGTTAAGAGTAGACGAGAGGAGCTAACCAGCTGACTTCTGGAACGTGACGATCTTCTCGACATGGCCATGAGGGTTAAAAACTTGATGCAGCACATCCACGGTGATGGGATAGAGCGGGTGGTGAATAGTAACTAAGAGAATTCGGTTGGGTTGTTGATCCTGAAGAAGACCCACACCGCGTTCCAGCAAGATACAAGAGAAGACAGGAAGAGAAAAAGAAGTGAGGGAGCCAGTACTGAAGTAGAAAGCTAAAGAAAATCCAAAGCAAAAAGAAAGAAAGAAAAATTCTTGAGAACTGGTGCTTCCATCTAGAGATAAAGGCACTCAGTCCATCCTAGGAGACAAACCTGATCACCAGCCGGACGCCGAGGTTGCGTTGCTTGATCAGAAGTTGTGAGCTCCTGATGTGACGAAAACTGGATGTAAACGTTTCTACCCCTGTGGCAAGCAAGCACGGAAAAACGTCAGCTTTCACGGCCAAAACAGAAAGAAACAGCGATAGCGAGAGAGAGAGAGAGAGATAGAAAGGAAGAGAAAAAAAACCATCGAACCTCACACTCGGCTGTACCGACGTGTAGTATTGCATCGCGCTGATGGCTGCATTCACATCTTGCATTTGCAAAAGAGCCTGCACAGAACAGTGATCTTAAACTGGCTGAAAGAACGAAAAGAAAAAAGAAAGAGCAACCATTACCTGGTTCTTCGTTCTCAGCAAGACCATCTTGCTCACTGACCCAAATGGCTGGACCAGTCCGAGCAAGTCACTCTGCAAAGGAAAGAAGAAAAAAAATTTCTCTCATTGCTCAAACAACTATAAACTCTCCTCTTTACCTCCGTTATTTCTTGCCCAACATTCCGGACGTGGAGAACCTTGGACGGCTCCGTCATATTCTCCAGTATGGCCGCAATATCGACACTACAATCAAAGAGAGGATTAGAATGGGGGACGACATTGCAGCCTAATCGCCGCCACAGCGCACACAATGGGGAAGAGCGCGAGGGGGAGCGCGGCGAATCCCGGCGCGGACATACCGGGTTGAGAGAAGAGGCAGCGATTGACGAGCGCGCTCGATCCGGCAGGGCGATCCTTTCCAAAACCTGCAAAACCCTACTTGTACGGACGAGATCCGGCCCACATCATTATTTTGTGACCGTTTCTTATGGGGCTTAGGGTTTTAGGGATTTTGGATTTTAGGGTTTCTAGTTTCCCTCTCGCGCGGCAATGTGGTGGGAAATTTCGCTGCGCCGCGATGTGATCGTCCATCCCCGGCATATGGATCCTTCCGGCGGCCATCGGCGCTGGATCATCCAGACGCTGCTAGAGGATATGGAGGATCTCCAATGCAGCCGCGAGCACGGCTACTATGTCGCGCCCACGACGCTGTCCAAGGTGAGCGGGGGCATGATCAGGGAGTCCGGCGGCGTCTCCTACAAAGTGGATTTTAAGTGCATGGTCTTCAAGTTGATCAAGAACGAGATCGTGGAGCTGGAGATCGAGAATGTGAAGCAGAGTGGCGCCGAGGCCTCTTGCGGCCCTTACACTGCGATCTTTCTCCACCACAGCCTCATGACTGGGTTTGTCTACTCCAACGAGAACGGCCCGTGTTTCAAGAACAGCGATGGTGTGGTGATCTCCAAAGGTTGTGCTGTTCGAGCGAAGATCCTGGGAGGGCAGTTCATGGGCGATGGGTTCCGCTGCCTTGCGACGATAAACGACGCTCATCTCGGCGTGATCAATCCGGAAGGATAAGTTTCTCGCGGTCTCTTTTTCCTTCGACTAAAATCTTGGCTAACATTGTTTGCTCCTCGTAAGCAGTTCATGGCTATCGCAAACGAAGGTTACCTTGGAAAGTTTGATCCTTTCTCTACGAAATATATACATATATTTTCCTTGGACTGAAACTTCGCTAACTTTGTTTGCTCGTCCATGAATGCAGAGCGAATGAGTTCCTAGAGTGTACACTGCAGGAAATGAAGGTTGGTGCTACGTAACTCTCTCAGAATACAACATTCCATCGCTCATTGTTTCTTATCTGTGACGAGGCAACAAACTGTTTCAAGTGGCATCCACTGTTGTTTTTACTTCTTTAATGTGCCTCGGTTTTTCCTTTGCAGGACGGACGACGAAGCAACCGCTTCTCTTCTCTGTCAGTGTAAGTCATTTGCACGATGGATGGCTACTCTTTTCTTTGCTCGATCTAATGCTATTTGGCCAGAAGTGCTGCACAACAATCCAGCCAACTGGTGCTCCGAACAAAGCGAACACGCAAAGTGAAGCAAAATCAATCACGCTCGCGAGAATTCAGCGCTGGAGAAGCTTCAAGGACTGGGTAAGATTTCGTCCCTGTCCTGTCGGGTGTTCCGCTAAGACATAGTCATTGTTTCTTTAAGGCATTGGTTGCCTGTATTCGTGTCAGCACGAGTGAAATGAGAGGGGCCAACCAACTTAGGCCGGTGTCATGCAAACGAGATGGCCATAATGCCCAGCTCTGACTTTTTCTCTCCTTTCTTTTTTCTCTTCCTTTTGTCAATGTGTCATAAAACTCGAGTGTAGAACCATTCAGTGTAGTTCATGAAATCCAGCGTCTCTCCAGTTGACATTGCATTTATCTCTTTTCAGTTCTGCTCTATCTCGTTTGGTTTCCTTTTTCATATTTGCTTGTTAAGAGTCAATCAGGACTTTGTCTACAGCCAACTTTGTTTTTGTGTTCTTCTTTCTTTAATCTCCTAACAAGTTATTGGTGCTGCAGTGCAGTGGGTTCAGGCGGCAGGAATGAAATCCAGAGGGACTCTGTTACCGCATTTTGGACAGCACAAGTTATCTTTGGAGAGCATAACGTACATGAGGCACTGCCGGCAGCCTACAGTGACCATGACAGGCCACTCCTGGGACTTTGCTCGTGCCTTTTGCCGTTTTGACTTCCTCGACTCGGCCTCGCAAGATTCAGCTCCGACTTGCGTGGTTGACGAACACGGAGACGACGAAGAAGATGAAATCGAGACGTGAGACGGCGATGGTGGAGGTGGTGGTGGTGGCATTGCGACCTGCTGTTGCTGCTGCGAGCTGCTCATCGGCCGGAGAGTTAATCTCAAATCCAGGTCCTCGATTTCTATCTGCAGCAGTGGACGGCTACGGCCGGTCATGGAGACTGTGGAACCTCTGATATTTTCCTTGGCAGTTTGTCCCAGACCAAGCTCCAAATCCACGACAACGCCGCTACTGCTGCTGCTGCTGCTGCTGCTGGTGCCGCTCGACACCTGAATTCTTTCGCTGGACAGGTGAATTCTGTCGTGAAGTGAATTTTGCGTGAAGGACTGACTGTGCTCCAATGATTGTAGGGGAAGTCTGTGCGGTACAACGGCGTAGCTCTTGTCTCCGGAGACGCGATTCCGGAAGTAGACAACGCCAGACTGCAAACCAAAACTTCAGGGATTGAGAGAAACAGCGAACAAATCTTCTCACCTTCAAGTCAAGACATTTCTCCCACCCGGACGGAAGTGGCTGCTTGGAATCCACGATCTCCAGCAGCGAGTCGACCGACAAGGAGCTGTGATAGCTCGCCGCGGAGGATTGCGGAGGAGGACAACACTTCATGGTGGCTGGACTTTGAGTGGGACTGAGGAAAAAGAGCTACTAAAGCTACATCCAACAAGCGAGACGAAAAATAAGAAAGGTGCGTCTCTCTCTGTGTGTGTTTGTGGAGTGTTTCTTTCTTTCTTTCGTCACTCTATCCCTCTTGTACTTACCAACGCCAGCTTTGTTTTTGTAGGTGGTTTCCTTTCTTTCTTTCTTTCAGCAACAAACGAGAGAGGCCCGAGCTACCGCCACCATCACCATCCACTTTGGAGGAATCAACAACCAAAATCCCTATCAAAGGCAAGCTTTTCCTTCCTTCTTTCTTTCTTAGCTTAAAGGCCCAGCGAGCTCTCTCTCGCTGGCTAGCAGGAGTTATACTAAAACACTCTCTTTTCCTTGTGTTTTTCTTTCCTTTAGTGTTCTTGGTACACTAAGAGACAGGGCAACAACGTCATGTGAAAACACACCAGTGGAAGTTGTGAAGCAAGGTCCACTGCCATGAATGCTAATGCGACATGGCATCGCCTCATCGTCACGTCATGCCACACTATGTCACTGGCCGGGGCCCATCGCGGCCGTCGGCCCCGTGGGCGGCTCGGATGGCGTCCACGTTGCGCTCGGCCCAAGGTTCGTGGATGCTTGTTCTCTCGTTGATCATGCCATGTTTGGGTCTTTAATCAACATTGTCGTTGTTGTGTGGTGGCCTTGCAGTAATCACGTTGAAAAACTATGGAGGAGAGCTCCAAGCTTCCATGCCGCCATTAAAATCCCACGACTTGAGTGGTGGTGTGGACTGTGGAAGAGGAAGACGAAGAAGTAGCGAGTGGAATATCTCCGGGAATAATCTTGTCGTGTATCACATGAATGCATTCAAACGGACAAGGTGGCGGACGAGAAAGGTGGCGTGCAAACAAAGAGCTTGGAATGGACTTTCTGTGAGATCAAGTTCTTCGATAAATGGATCAATCTATTGATTTTGTTTGTTTGTTCCTTCGCTCCAGGGTCACTGAATGTTCCCTGTACCATACCAGCGCGTGAAAAGAAAATCTTGGATGGTCCTAGAAACAACTCGAGCTTTGCACGAATATCTACCATCGCCCAAGTGTGATCGATCGTCCATAACCATCCTTTTTTTTAATCATTATCGCCCAAGATCATGCTATTCATTGTATTTCTATAGTTTGGGGGTGGCAAGAACAACTAGTGTGACGGTTCTTCTTCCAGATGAGAGAGAGCTCACCGTCACAACAAATCGAGCTCCAATCGTGGCTTCTTGCTTGGCAAATCTTGGAGAGGATTGATCACGGAGCTCCCACATTTCGGGCACCGTGGATCCGAGCGCGTGAGCATCACGTACATGAGACACCGCTTGCAGCCGGTGAGAACAACCCGGGGGCTTGGGACGCTCGTCGATTCCTCCGCGACTACCCCCCCTCCTCTCCTGGATCGATCGTCCAATTGGATCTCCGACGATGATGTCGCCGAGGAGGTCGGGGATTTGATCGATCGCTTGAGCGCCTCCTGGACCGCCTCGATCGTGGAGATGCCCAGGCTGGGCATCGACTCCCTGGACGAGGAACCCGAGTTGGCACTAGTGCTGCCCACGGCGAGATTGAGCTTCAAATCGACCAAATCGAACGACGAGGATGGCGATGGCGATGGCGAGCCTGACATCATCCTGTCCAGCTCCGATTGCAAATCCCAGCAGCTCGTTGCGATCGCGAATGGGTGATTGTACGTGCTCTTGCCGGTGCTGAGATTCACGTAGTAGAATTTGCCGAGCTGCGAAAAGAAAAACTCTTAGATCAATTCAAGCGAGATGAGGAAGAACGAGTGGATGGACTTACTTTCAAATCGAGCCTCTTCTCCCAGCCGCTTGGAGCGGACATCTCCATGTCGAGCTTCAAATCGAGCGTCTCGGTGACAGGAGTCTTGGTGGAGGAAGACGAAGAGCCGCCCAAGAGATCCAAAGTCGTGGTGCTCGTCTGATCGTTGCTGGATTCGATCGGCTGCCCAATCATGAACTGGAGGAGCTTGTTCTGATCTTCACCCCAGCCTCGCTTCTTGCCCCCTGCGCCGCCGCCAATGCCAAAGCGAGGTGACGTCCATCCGGAATCCATAGCCACTGCCATACTACAACGCTATGTTCCTCTGCCCAATTCCAGCGGCTTGACGAACCAATTTGCGATTTTGCTGCGATGGGTCGCTGCGAGACGCTGGATTCTGCCGGGAAGCGGCTCGCTTTGGCGCGGAAAATCCTCGCTGGGCGGCACCGCCACCGAAGACCTTGTAGAGAAAATGAAGAAGAAGACGAAGCGAAGAGGCCTAGCTAGGTATTAAAACAGTGGTGGGCGATTGCGATTCCACCAAAAAACTAAGAAAAAAAGAAGAAAGCACGCTGTTGCGCTGGGCCGTGGCGTCGCGGGCCAAGATTGATCGAACGATAGAGTGGGAGAAGAAGACAAAGATTAGAGAGGAAAGAAAGAGCGAGATGAGAGAGAGAGAGTGGAGTTCTCCTCGTCGCAAGTCAGGGAAGACGGCGTACAAATGACGACCAAACGTTTTCAATGCATCGCTCACACCATTAACACACCCCGACTGGCACTGCTCACACGCACACGAAGAAAAAGATAAACTTCCAGCTTCGCGCGCCAGGGAGAGAGCTTCGATCGATGGGAGGAAGAAAAAGGAAGGGGGTCTAGGACTCTCGCTCGTGAAAGAAAAATCGACCAAAACCAACAGCGACTCACCAGCAAACCGCATCAAATGCCCGCAAACCAAACCCTCTCGCTGTCACACGATCAAGCACACAAAACCTTTGAATCCATTCAAACCCCTCGCAAGGTTTTTGGCTTTGAATGGTGGTGGTGGCGCAAACCCAGGGTGGAAGATTTCTCTCACACACACAGAGAAACAAAAAGGGGAAGGAAAAGATGGTGGCGATGGTGGTGGCGCCGCCAAGCGATCTTCCTCGTCCTTTTTCTTCAAAGCATATAAGATACGAGATCGATCGCCCACCCACACAACCGTAACACGCAAACAACAAGGGCAATACAATCGAAAAGCCAGACCTCGATCTATCATTTACCAGCGACGTGACAAGCGAATGAAAGGTGATGGTTCCAGGCGATGATCACGGCAGGCAAAGCGACCGATCGCGCGCGTATATTTGTACCCCACCCGAGCGATGGAGAGCTTTCGCGGCGTTTGGATCGCTCGATGGAGCGGTCAGTGGATGTTTTCAAGAGGAAAGAGATTTCTTGGGTGGTAGTAGTAAAAGTATGTGTATGTATGGTAGGGACAAGCGCGCATTAAATGAGCTTGAAAAGAGTGGCGTGCCAGGAAGGGAGGGAGCATTTGGGGAGCCCTTGCATTCAATGGGAGGGCTTTGATCCCGGGAATCAAAGCCGGGCATATTCCGCGAATAACGCATACACGCATTCAAGCCCTCCACACCCAGTCGCCAAAATCTAATGCTTGCTATCCAATCGGAGTGAGAGAGTGAGTGAATTGGCAAATGAATCGAGCGCGCCCGCCATTAAAGTTCCTCGACTGGATCGATCAATTTCAAACGCGCATTGATACGGCAGTAAATCTGTCTCATTACGCGCGGGAGGAGGAAATTACTGCAGCACTCTCGCCAATTTTTCCGCTTTTCACCATAGATAGATGAGAGGATCAAGGGTTGACGACGCATTGTCAACGGATGTGTACAGAGATCCTCAAGAAATGATGAACAACACAATCATGTGGCGCTGTTAGTCAACAGCCACTAGCGCGAGATTAGGGTTCTTGGATTCAAATAATGGCCGTCAGATGGACTCCATCGAACGGATGTTAGCTGGTTTATTTACTTTTAAGGCAAGAGGATTTGAATGTGGAGCGTTCGATCTTGGCCATCGGACAGCCGAGGATGGACCGGGACAAATTTGCCCGGGCGATTCAATCGTGCACGACTCTGTCCGCCGGGAGAGAGATCCACGCCCGATTCGCGACTGTGCTGAGCACCGGCGACATTTATCTCTCGCACAAGCTGCTAGAGATGTATGGGAAGTGTGGCAGCGCCGCAAGCGCGAGAGTGGTCTTTGATTCCATCCCGAGCAAGGATTTCTACTCGTGGGATCTCATGCTGTCCGCCTACGCGCGCAATGGCTGCGTCGACGAGGCCGAGTTTGTGTTCCATGCGATGCCGGACAGAGCGATCGTCTCCTGGAACGTTCTCCTGTCCGCGCTTGCCAAGGCGGGGAAATTGCGACGAGCCAGGCGGTTGTTTGATGAAATTCTTGATCCCAACTTGATCTCTTGGACCACGATCGTAGCTGGGTATGCGCAGTTTGGCCAGATTGCGGAAGCAAAATACCTCTTTGATCGAATGCCCGAGAGGAACGTCTCCTCCTGGAACGCTCTTCTTTCTGCTTATGCCCAGAGCGGGCAATCGATCGAGGCGAAGCAGCTGTTTGATTTGATTCCAGTCCCAAACATGAGCTCCTGGACAGTGATTGTCGGAATCTGCGCTCGCAGTGGCAAAATTGAAGAGGCCAAGAGATGTTTCGATAAAATGCCAATGCGTGATCTCATTCTCTTCACGATGATGCTCACAGCATATGCCCAAAATGGGCATATTCTCCAAGCAAGAGCCTTGTTCAGCGAGTGTCCACAGTGGGATCTAGTGTCGTGGACCGCCATGTTGACCGCCTATTCCGAGAGTGGCGATTTCGGAATGGCCAAGGAGATCTTCGACCAAATGGAGGTTCAGGATCTCATCTCCTGGACCGCCATCCTGACCGTCTATGCCCACAACGGGCGCCTAGCGGACGCTCGAGATGTGTTTCAACGAATGCCGCAGAGGGACCTGGTGACGTGTACTGCCATGTTGGCCGCTTATGCCCAATCAGGGCAACTTGATCAAGCGAAAAGGATCTTCGACGAGATGCCCCAGCGGGACTTGGTGACGTGGAGTGCCATGCTGGCAGCTTATGCCACGCAAGGGCATCTGGAGGAGGCAAGGACGGTGTTTGAAGCTATGCCAGAGAGGAATCAAGTGACGTGGACGTCCATGCTGGCAGCTTATGCCGGAATGTCTTACGTGGAGCATGCCAAGCAGGTCTTTGACGCCATGCCCGAGCAAGACGTGGTCGCATATAACGCAATGGTTGCGGTATACGCCCATAACCGGCATTTGGAGGAAGCAAAGCTTATGTTTGATTCAATGTCGCAGCGAGACCTAATCTCGTGGAGCGTTATGGTTGTGGCGTATACCCAACATGGGCATATAGGTCTCGGCAGGAGGATCTTCGATCGGATGCCTTCTCAGGACATGATCTCTCAAAGTGGAATGCTGGCTGCTTACGCATATACTGGCAGTCCAAGCAGCGCATTTGATCTCTTGGACGAGATGAGACTGATTGATCCGCCCGACGAGAGCTGCATTGCATCGCTGCTCATTGCTTGCAGCCGCCTGGGAAGAGTTTTCGATGCTCGATGCTGGATGACCTCGATGAAGTTTGACTATGGGAGGAGCCCAACAAAGCAGCACTACACTTGCATGGTGGATGTTCTTGGGCGATCTGGGTATCTCACAGATGCAAGGGATCTCTTAGATTCCATGCCTTTTATGCCTGATACTTTGGAGTGGACGTGCTTTCTCTCGGCGTGTTTCGATCACAACCAACTGGAATTTGGAGTAGAAGCGGCCAAGAGCGTTCTAAACTCCTTCCCAAAACATGGGGCTTTGTATGTGCTGCTCTCCAATTCCTTGCAAGGAAAGGCGTTGACTGGACTGACTAGACTTTACCGTTGACGCAATCGCCACCGTTGGGAGGCCATTCCATCTTGGCCGTTGGAATCGGCCAGGTTTAGAGTCATAGTGAGCTTTGAACGCCAGGGCGCTAGCACGGGGAGAGAGCTTCTATGCGCTTCAAACCCTAAGGCGTTTGGGCGCATCGATCATGCCGGTCGCGGCTTCCGCGATCTACTTCCTCAACCTGCGAGGGGATGTGCTCATCAATCGCCTCTACAGAGACGATGTCGGGTAAGAATCCTCCCAATTCTCTCCGGCATTTCGAGCGCTAGATCTAGGGTGTCCTGGGGCAGCACGGGGTCATATTTCGCGAGCTTTTGGGTCGGCTGGGGCCCGAGATCCAGCTCCGGAGTGAGAATTTAGGGCTCTTAGAGTGACTGGCTACGTTTAATTTTGCAGAGGGAACATGGTGGACGCCTTTAGAACGCATATCATGCAAACCAAGGACTTGGGAACTTGCCCCGTTCGCCAGATTGGTGGATGCTCCTTCCTCTACATGCGGATCAGCAATGTCTACATTGTGATCGTCGTCAGCAGCAATGCCAATGCTGCCTGTGCTCTCAAATTTGTTGTGGAGGTCTACACTTTCAGAGATTTTGTTTCTCTTGTTCTTAAACTTTGCTCCTTTCTCGTTGGTTTTTCACAGGCTGTGGCTCTTTTCAAGAGTTATTTCGGTGGTGCTTTTGATGAGGACGCTATCAGAAATAACTTTGTGCTCATCTACGAGCTTCTCGACGGTATTTTCGTTTGGTTTCATGGAAAATTCATCACGCTTTTGAATGTGCAGAGATCATGGACTTTGGATACCCGCAAAATCTTTCTCCTGAGATTTTGAAGCTCTATATAACTCAGGAGGGTGTTCGTTCGCCATTCTCGAAGGTAGCGATGTGTTGCATTGCCTGGCTGGTTAACAGAATTTATCTCTTTCCAGCCCATAGATACAAGACCCCCAGCAAATGCTACTCTCCAAGTCACCGGTGCAGTGGGATGGAGAAGAGAGGGTCTTGTTTACAAGAAAAATGAGGTTTGCTGTTTTTCAAACTTTGATGCTAGACTAATACCGTATGCTTTCTAGGTGTTTTTGGATATCGTGGAGAGTGTGAACCTTCTTATGTCACAAAAGGGTAAGGCGCTTGCCACTGAAAAGTCCTTGTTGGAAATATTCTTCCTTCTTTATGTAGGGACAATCCTCAGATGCGACGTAACAGGGAAGATTCTCATGAAGTGCTTTCTATCGGGCATGCCTGATTTAAAGCTCGGGCTCAACGACAAAATAGGACTTGAGAAGGAAGCACAGGTGAAAGCGCGTCCTGCAAAAAGGTATGCTTTAAGGTGTACATTAGTGCAACCTTTTTGATTGATAAAAATTTTGCAGTGGGAAAACGATAGAGCTGGACGATGTCACGTTTCATCAGTGCGTCAACTTAACCAGATTTAACTCCGAGAAGACGGTCAGCTTTGTTCCCCCGGATGGAGAATTCGAGCTGATGAAGTACTGGACAAGTTTGTGATGGTATAGCTAACTTGGTACTTATATCTTTTCATATCTTTTCCAGGTATCGAATCACTGAAGGGATCAACCTTCCCTTTCGAGTTTTTCCCAGCATCAAAGAACTTGGTCGCACGCGTATGGAAGTGAATGTGAAGGTAAACCAATATCTCTCAAGGCTTTCTTCTCAAGACTTCGTGCAGGTCAAGAGTCTCTTTGGATCAAAGATGTTTGCTCTTGGCGTAGTTGTAAAAGTTCCAGTCCCTAAGCAGACGGCAAAAGCGAGCTTTCAAGTTACATCCGGCCGCGCCAAGTATAACGCCTCAGTGGATTGCTTGCTATGGAAGTAAGGCTCCTTATCTTCGATTGTTTTCGTAACTGGACCACCAATTCTCAGGATCCGGAAGTTCCCCGGCCAAGCCGAGCTGACAATGAGTGCCGAAGTGGAACTTATCTCAACGATGGTCGAGAGAAAGAGCTGGACACGACCTCCAATTCAGATGGAGTTTCAAGTAAAAAACACTATCTTTCTCTTGCGTGATTTCTTACAATTTCTTACCAGGTCCCAATGTTCACTGCCTCTGGATTGCGGGTGAGGTTTCTCAAGGTAAGCAAACTCGTCGCGATTGTTTAGGAATTCTGGAATGATTTCTTTCTGGCTCCTCAGGTGTGGGAAAAGAGTGGATACAGCACAGTGGAATGGGTACGCTACATCACAAGAGCTGGATCGTACGAAATAAGGTGCTAAAAAAACGTGAGGGAAGGGAAGAAAATTTTTTGTTTGTTTTCCTTGTTGCAATGTGTGTAAATGTAATCCCTTGATTCTTTCTCCGCGTGAGCTGTTTTATTTTAAGGGTTTAGCATATTCTTGGTAGAATATACTAGAAGCATATTTTCTTTTTAATTTTTTTTAGGGCTCGTGTTACTCTAGGGTTCTTGGTTGCTAGTCTAGGGTTATTGGCTTGCGGCTGTCGCGATGTGATGCGAACCAGCGCTGAGGTTTCGATCGATGACGCATTCGAATCAAATCAGTCTTCAAAGTTTTCTGATCGCGCGGTTGACTGATTGCTAGCTAGATTGATTTGTTTTGGACGCTTACAGACGGTCGAGCTCCTGCCGTGCTCTGCTCTCCAGAGCAGGAGCTCAACATAATCTTAAGCAATATCGACTGGATTGGAGCTGGCCGCTGTGGGATTGCTTCGATTGAATCGATCCCCAGCGCATTGCTCACATTGCTTGAAGAGGAAGAGGATGCTCTTTAATTTCCCCCTTCTCGGCGCTGGGCAGAGGCTCCAGATCCATCGCCGGTTTGTCCTCGTTCTGGACGATCTGGAGCTCCCCATTGCAGTAGAACGGCATTCCAGAGAAGCCCACGTCTCGCCGGAGCATGAAAAATCCCCCAGAGGGGCTGGCGGCGCTGGGGATGAGCGCGAGCCACACTGCGGTGTCCGCTCCAATCTCCACCGAATGCCCGACCTTGGTCGTCATGTCCGTGGCTGTCAATCCCGGGCACATCGAATTCACGAAGATCTGGCGGTCCTCTCGCGAGCTCTGCGCGATTTGCTTGTGGAGGAGGCGCGTGTAGGCGGCGGCGGCGATCTTGGAGACCCAGTAGCTCGAGACGGCCTCTGGATCGCCCGGGACGTAGTCGAAGGTCGGCCAGCCAGCGGCGGTCACTCGATTCTCCTCGACGTGGCGGAGGAATTCCGCGATGAATCGATCGATCTCTTGGGCGGTGAGGCGCCGGAGGTCTTGCAGCCTTTCTCTCCACTCGTTCTTGACGAACTGTTACGTAGAAACAAAGATGAGAACAAAGATCTTCGGGAAGAGAAAATCTTTACCGCGATGTCTCCGGCCTTGGAGTTCATGTTGATGATCCGGCCGCCGCGCTTGAGGAGTGGGAGAATCGCCTCGGTGGTCCTCTTGAGGCCGTAGTAATTCGTGCCGATGATCGTCCTCGCCGCCTCGAGTCTGTCACGATCTAGCAGCAGCATCACTCCCGCATTGTTTATCTGCAAGGAGGATACACGAATCTTAGATGTGATCACCGAGATCCCGCAGTAACGAATGCCAAGAACACCAAGAACACCAAGAACACTCGAAGTATTTTCCACTTGCCAGGATGTCAATGCCCGATGGATACTCCGCCGCGATCCAGCGCGCGATTTCTTCCACGGATCCGGCGTCGCAGACGTCCAGGCGGTGGTAGACGACCGCCAATCCCTCGCGCGCCAGGGTTTCCGCAGCCTCGCGGCCCCGGCGCTCATCCCTGGATGTGAGAATCGTCGTAATGCCGCGCGACGCCAGCTCGCGCACGATCTGGAGGCCGAGCCCTTTGTTGGCGCCGGTGACGAGCGCGATCGTGTCCTTGCTCCACCATGTGGAATCCATGACCACTGATCCAACGAAGAACTGCGCTATATGTGTGAGGTGATAGTTTATCTTCTAGAGCTCCACTATCGTATTTTATTTGAAGTGGCATTCACGCGGCATTAAGGAAGCGCTTGTCGCTGAAATCGATAGTCTGGTCGGGTCGTTTCGCTTGGATTTTTCGATGCGATCGAGCATCCAACTGTTGCCGTCAAGTCTTAGGGTTTATCTGCGTGTCTTCTTGTGACCACGCTGGAGGAGCAATGGCCACTCCATAGGCAAATCTGGATCAAGATGTATGGATCACTCGCGTTATTTCCACGATATCGTGATCATGTTATCAAGTTAGAATGTTATTTTTCTTCCACTCAATGTTTCTACACACTGTCGCCGTCAATGCAAGTGATACGCAAGAGTGCCAACAACACGTCCAAGGTTCGATCCAAAATTCTCGCCGGCTGCTTGCACGGCTCAAAGATTGCTCCGCTGCCAAAGACTTGGAGCGAGGAAGGATTGCTCACGCTGATGCCATCCAAACGGGTATGGAAACAAACACACTCTGATAAACATGTTCGCAAAATGTGGCAGCCTCGCGGACACCCGCACGACGATGTGGTCCCTTGGAACGCGCTCATGCCGATAACGATCAAGGAGAGCTCGCGCTCGATCTCTTCTCCAGGATGAGGTCAGAAGGATGGTCTCTCTTACGTCGCTGCTTGAAAGGCTTGCAGTTGCTTAAGAGAAGCTCATGGTCCAGCGGCAAGTTTTTGCTAAGGTTTGCACCGCTCGATAAAGCCAGGGAGCTCATCAGTTTATATGCCAAGTGTGGGAGTGTGGGAGTGTGGGAACTTGGCTGACGCCTTCCAGGTTTTTCAGAGGATCCCGAGTCACAGTTTGGTCTCCTGGACGGTTTTGGTACTTGGTTATGAGGAGAATCTATCAGGGCGTGCTGGCAGCGAAAGAAGCGGTTAAGCTCCCGAGCCAACACAAACTCGTCAAGGCGGCGGCTCTGGAAAAAGCTGTTCCTCCGACACAGATATATTCGTGGCAAACGCAGCGCTCGATATGTTTCTCAAGTGTGGAAGCCTCGAAGATGCTTGCCAGGTGTTTGAGAGGATCCAGCGCCCGGATGTTGTGTCGTGGACAACTTTGATCGTGGGATACTCCGAGAACCGCGAGCCAGAGGTGGTCCTCGAGCTGTTCCAACGCATGCAACTCCAGCTCGTGGCGGTGGTAAAAGCTTGCATGGCTCTGGGTGCGATCGGGCAGAAGATAGATGGAAAGGTTGTCAAGGCGCAAAGCTTGGAGAAGGGAATGGCCATTCACGCGATGGCTGTGTCGCAGTTTTACTACGACTCGGATGTTTTTTTGGCGAGCTCGCTGGTGGAGATGTATGCAAGATGTGGGAGCTTGCTCGACGCTTGCAAAGTTTTCGACAGGATCGTCTCGCACGACTCGGTGTTGTGGACGGCTTTGGTGCTGGGCTATGCTGATAATGGAGAGGAAGAGATTGCTCTCGAGTTATTCCGGTGCATGAGTTCTCGAGGCTGCACACCAGATTGTCGGACTTACGTTGCGGAGGAGGCTCGGAGAGTCTTCCTGGGAGGAGCTGCTTCACAAAACTTGGTCTCTTGGACGTCACTCGTGCTTGGCTACGCTCGAAACGGTAAAGAAGATCTGGCACTGGAGGCTTTCACTGGTTTGCGACCACAAGGCTGTGTCCCGAAGACTCGACCGATCGTAGCAGCACTGAAAGCCTGCATTGATCTGGCCGAGAAAGAAGATGGAACTCAAGTCGAGGGAAATTTTGTCAAGTTAGCAGCTCTCGAGAAAGGAATGGCGGTCCACTCGGAGGCAGCAGCCAAGTGTCCCGGTGACTTGGAAAACACCTTCGTCGCGAGCAGCTTGATCGACTTTTACGTCAAGTGTGGAAGCATGGGCGATGCTCGGCGAGTTTTTGACACTATGCCAGATCCGGGCCTGGTTTTGTGGAGCACGCTCATGCTGGGATACGCCGATGATGGAGAAGGTGACATAGCACTGGAGCTCTACAAACTGGTCAACAAGAGTTACACCCCCGACACTCAAACTCTGGCCGCTGCTCTCACTGCTTTTGCCAGGGTTGTGTCTCTCCAAGCTGGGAAAGAGATCCACTCGGAGATTTACAGGTGTGGCTTGGAGGGTGATGCGACGTGCATGGTGGACTTTTATGGCTGGCTTGGATGGCGTTGCTTGGGGCTTGTCACAAGTGGAGGGACATGAAGCATGGGAGGATTGCGTTTGAGGCATTGGTGGTGTTCAATCCAGAGAGCTCAGCTGCTTACGATCCTATGTCTAACATCTATGCAAGTTCTTGACAAGAACTTTACACTTTGTAAAAGTTGAAATGATGTGGCAATGGTTGTACCCATGTGGCAATATATATATACCTATATATAATTCATTTGTCCACTTTCATGGTATTTAAGCCCTCTTGATCCTGGGTTGCTAAACATGAGGCTATTAATGAAGAGGAAAATGAACAACAATCCCTTTTATAATGTTTGGGATGATTAATGCATTAGATGTTTAAGGCGCTAGATCAAAGCAATGCTAGACTGTCACTTAGAAATTCAATTGTTAGTTAATAGAGGATGCAATAGCATGGCAGTTACCAGATTAAACCCATAGAAAAACAAGAGTGTGTGCAAGTAAAGTCAAAACATAATGATGAGTTTTTCATATATTTTTCTCCCCATGTTCTTATGCAAACATTGGAGCCCTAAAGCCATAAAATATTCCCAGAATATTCTCTTGGTATTCAAGGTTAATATGAAAAGTCAAGGAACACTGCAACTTGCAAAGGTTTAACTGAATCTTCAGCCTTTTACTCAGGCACTGCACATTTTCACATTTGCCAAGAATTCCTGAAGAATGCCTTTGGATTTGTCTCCGGGAGAGAGATGTCCTAGAGCCTCCAAGGCATGTGAACAAAGATGGAGGAGAGTCTCCCCAGGCAATATGTCACAACAGTCTCTTGTGATCAAAAGCCAAACATTCTGCACTAAACAGAAGTCTTGGGAAAATCTAAGGCTCACAAAAGGATTAATGTATAGATAGAAAAAATTAAAAGAGAATTTAGAATTGACTTTCAAATCACCATTCAGCAAGATGCAATTAGCATAGAACAGCATCATGGCAAACGACATATGCCATTTTTTGGTTATATGGCAGTATGGGACTCTATCTCTGGATGCACCAGCACCTTGTAGTCAAAATGCACCTCAAGCATTTCAACCCCATGAATGCCATGCATCGATCCAATCGCGCAGTAGTCGCCTGCCATCGAAAGCCCTAGAAAAGAGAGGAAATGAATATCTTGAGAATAGGGTCAGATGTTAACTTGTTTGTTAACTTAGCTGGAGAGGGCTGATGACTGGGTCAGGGGCTCCAAAACTCAACAACCAGAGCTGCACGATATGGGTATGTGCTTCAAAATGCTGTAGGATGTCCTACTCTCTAGCAAGCATCATTTCTTGCCATCTCTCACATTTTTTGTCAAACATGCACAAACTATGGAGAGCCAACTTGATCATATTATCCTCCGGGTGCACAATGTAAATGTTTATTCCCTGGAGATAATTCCCACTAGTCAAACTTGCCAAGTTTGGAGTGTTGATAACAACCCCAAAAACTGTCCCATTTGACCTTGTGCTAAGATCTTGAGATTGGAGCTGCACAGCATCACAAACCTCTGCAAGACAGCTCCAAAGCCTATGACTATTAGTGCTACTAGTGCTGCAGAGCATGCACTATTTGGAAACCCACAAGCTCTCACATAGCAAGCCAAATGATGTGGTTTTTCAAATTTTAACTATATGAAAACACTAGATAAGAGAAATAAGACTTCCAATATGAGAAAATTATATAGAAGAGGCAAGCCATTCATGTGGTACTGTGCTTGCTCCTGTTTTGTCGAATGTGGCTGCTTCTTGAGGATTAATCCCTTGAACTTTAATGTATAGCTTTGTAAACTCTCACCTGGCAAGAGTTGGAAATGACTCAGATCACTCATAAGTCGTTGTGAAAAGCTTACCGGCCTGAAAGTAGCCAAAAAGGATACCCTCAACGCTGCCCAATCTATCACTGTTGGAACTTGAGCCATCCATTCTGCAGCTACACCTTGTAACGTGGCTGAAAAAAGTTTCCTGCAATCTATTGCATCTGCCTTGACTTGTTGCTGTTGAGGCTGTTGTACTTATTGGATTGTGGCTGTTGTTGCCGTTGCTCTACTGGCTGTTGCCACTGTGGTGATGACTGGAACTCCTACCATTCATCTTCTTGTTCTTGATTATTCTCCTGCTTGCTGACAAGACTACTTGGTTGAGGATTTGCACTCCTCGCTCTTGGACTCTTGGGATCATAATCTAATGGCAGATTTCTCACAAGAATTCTCAAATCTCTCTCACGTCTTTGCCTTGCTTGTCTTTCCTCTTGCTCTTGCGCTTTTACAAGTCTCGCCAAGTACTCTTGACTTCTTTGGCTCATACACCAGGAAGGAATGGCCTCGATTTGGTGAGGGTAGCTTGGCTTCTCCTAGTGCTCACCCTTCTACCACAATCTCCACACTTGCTTCGCTTCTTGGGCAGTGCACTAAACGATGTTGCTCCTCACGACGACACACTAGCAAAGTGGAGAATCATTGCTGCCTAACCTCATTCCTAGCCTCATCAGCTGCTAGAACCTTTGCCAACATCCTAACCCAAGGTTGCCCACAAGTCGGACAACTCACACAAATTGGTTGATCTCAAGCAATTTTCACTATGATGTGACTATAGTTACTGTTGCACTACCAACCTTTGCTCCATGCGCTCCAAGGCTGTCGAATGAGGCATCCTTCCAAGAACCTTCTCTTTATTTCATTCCTTTCACTTCTACACACATGCTATTCCTGGAAATTGACTGTTTGCCCCTTTCTAGCAGAATATTCTCTTATTCCCCCACCATAACCAAGAAAAAAGAAAGAAAAATTTCCCAAGATCAGAGCTCCATCTGGGAAGTAAGTGGGGTGGACTATCCCGTGACTTGCAATGTGAATCCAGTTACTCTCGGGAAGCTGGCGCAGCACGAAATCTTTCGTTGCATCAGCTTCACGCAGGAAGTTGACGACACTACCTGTGTTGGCTTTCTTCAACAAGGACTCCACCATCTCTCCTTCCTTTGTTGCGTAGATTAGATCTTTGGTGGGGTTTCCTACGACCAGGTATGATGAAGGCTGTGATTGCTGGGCTAGTCTTCTCTTGTCACAATGCTTCAAGAGCCTCAATGAGGAAACTGTGGCTACCGCATATTTCTGGATCAAGTAGTAATTGTCTTCATCGATCATGGCACCGAAAGGAACAACGGAGATATCCTACAAGTTTGGCAGCTCTTCAGAGTTTGCAAGTAAAAGAAACAAAAGATAGAGTACCTCGCTTGGAACAAAAACAAGTTTCTTGGGTTGGATACTTTCTAGCTGCGACTCAAAAGGCTCGATGATGATCTTGTAGTAATCCCTGAGAGTACTGTCTGCGTCGTTAGCATCCAGTAGTTTCAGTAAATCCGATGGCGAGCAAGCTTGAAAGCCGCGTTGGTGTCTGTAGTTGATAAGATTCCCATTGTGTAGAAGATAGATAACCACGTTGTCAAAAGTTGATGTCGAAATCTTAGATACAATCAAGATGGCTGTTTCCTTTCCCATGATCTTGGAGACTTCTTCAATTTCTGACCAGGCTCTGTCGTCGTCCATGTCGAACTCCATCGAGTTCTCCCGATTCCCTTCTTTGCTGACTAGAAACAGCATGTCTCTTGCATGGCTCCTATCAGACCAGATCAGTGCTCGTTTGATCTCGTTGGCATCCAGTAGGAGCATCTGGAGTCCTTTAAAGTAGAGCTTGAGTGACTCTATATTGTTGATCCTCCCTATGCTCAAACAGCCGAAGTTTCCATCCATTCGCAGCCAATACCTGAACAAATAAATCTTAGAGCTTCCTTCTCTTTAGAAACAGAGAGATGCCACGAACCTGAGGAGCTCTTTGATTTTCTGGATGGAGTCTGTAGTAAAGCCCATCTTAAACAGCAGACAAGCATGGTTAACAAGAACTGAAGGGACTGTAACACTTGGAGAGATTAAGCGCTCAGCAAGTTGGATAGCTTGTCTCATGAATTCATTGACGAGCAATAGGGGTGGAGAGATCCTCAGTTTAATCGAATATGCATACGCAAGCTCCGCCATCTTCATCCAAAGTCTAGATTCGTATATTTTCAGGCCATGTAGTTCGACATCCCTATCCTCCCGTGTCAGAGTTTGGAGCAAGTGGCCAATCTGTGATTCCTGTTCCTCAAGGTCTCCTTCTTTGTCAATTAATAACTTCAAAGTCTCTTTCAGCTCCATCGTTGCCTCATCATACAAAGTAGTTTCAGTAGCTGCGCCCATTTGTAAGTTCTTGTTGCACACTTTGAGAAGGACGACAGCGTTTCCAAAGCTCGTCTGTAAGCGATTCCTGCCAAAGAAAGAGGGGGTGTCTCTGTTACAGATATACGTGACCAGTGCTGCAGGGTATGGTGTTTGTAAGGGTTCCAAAAGTTGGCATGACCTCTGAAAATGCAGAGCGGCACCAGAAACATCTCCCCATTCGCACTTGAGACGTCCTTGCATGAGTTCTACAATACCTTGTCCAAACACCACCAAGTTGGGGACGCTTCTGCCTGTAACCTTCAGGAGTTCCTGGACGATCTCATTTGCCTTTTGGAACAATTGCTGCGATGTAAGAGCGTCAAACTGCCGGGCCATGGCGTCCAGGATGAGCTCCTCATTACTGGCTTGAAGAGCATAGCGTTTCGCCCTCTCCAGATATTCTCGGCTTGTTTTCTTGTCAGTGCATGCGTTCCCTAGTTCAGTTGCAGCAAAGTAACGTAGCATTCCTGTTTGTGCTTGTTCCAGGGAGCTCTCCAGGAATCCATATTGTGCTTCCAAAAACTGGCCGTCCACTACTCCTCTTCCAATGTAGTAATCTGTCCAAGCTCCGTAATTTTCACCATCTCTAGAGTGTTTCTCGACACATACCATCAGTCGAGAGACCATAGCCTGAGTGTCTCCTTTCGTTTCACGGCCAAGGTAGTCGTTTATAAACTCTTGGGCCCAGTGAATGCTGTCCAAGTCACCCATCTTCAAGGCAATCTGATGGCCAAGCACGAGCGGATCAATGCCAGTGACTGAGACCTCGTCATCTTTGTCGTACATA